TAATGACTTGGTCCAATGGTTGAATTACCGATGTTGTGTTAGGTGGCAGGTACTTGAGTGTAATTTAGACAATTTAAGATCACCATTTGATGAGGCATTGTCCAAGAACATAAGATTGTGTCTGGCTCTTTATCTGTCGGTTGACGTCTCATAACCATTCTGTAAAGAGTTTGTTAGTCATCCATGCCTTCTTATTCAATTTGTACATATAGGTGAAACTTGAAAAGATAAATGCCGAATTAATCAACAGAAGTGAACATTCGAATAATAACAACCACAATTCTAAAACAAAGTTGAAATAGTTTCGAAAAAAATTTAATTTAACTCACCTAACATTTTAACATTAAAATTTAACAAATTTACGGAATAACGGGATCTTCAATCTTCAGCCAACCATCTGATGCTGAAAAATCTGTAATCTTCATTTCTTTAGCAAATTGGGATGCCTTGGCTTGATAGGAACAGAAATGGGAATTCCCTTTGCATGAGCCATCGAAAACCATTATTGTTGACGTTTTCCCAAAACATTGTTTCGCTCCATTTCCATTATTTCCATACTGTTGTACATAACTGTCCTTCTTTCGAATTATGCCACCAACAGTAGACCTACCGATTTTATATTGACCTATTCATAATCAGTCACGGCACATGTCATATCTATCTTTAATGTCGTCAACGGATTATTAAGGTGCTGGTTTAGAGATACTAATAACTATAGATTAACTACTTTGGGACTTGCCGGATTGCGGTTTAGAGAGGTGTCACTGTAGTCCTATCAAAAGTTACTTCTGCACTTTTTAGTTAAGACCAAATGAGAAAAGAACAGATTGACATAGATAACATTCAACCAATCAAAATCAAAAATCATAATTATATAGATTTTATTATCAACTTACTTGTCTGATATCTGTGACATGATTGGCACTGGATTCTGCGATTATTTGCAGGATTACAGATTCTTTTAAAAGAATTTTGGAAGATAAGAATTTTTTTACCATTGATTCTCTGTAACACCATTCTTAAGCTAAAATTGAAATAGAAAAGATGTTCTTAACAAAAAAGCAGGGTTGTTGGTCTATATTTTGAAAAATAGACAGACACTGTAATGTTTTAAAACAACATATGCTCAAAGAGTTCTCATGAGCAACCAACTCCGCAACGGCGGGAGAATGCGTCGCCTATTTTCGTGTACAATGTTTGATCTATAAATAAGTCTAGAAAAACACGTTGTATAAATACCGGGTGGTATAATTAACTTCTCTTAGTATTTATCTTTAATATCAATTCATTATAACTAGTGACAATTCCTTCAAAGAACCACGATTTAAAAAAAAAATAGTGACTGACAAAATAAGATACGTAGCGTGATCTATTGCTAAAAGTCACTGAAACAACATATGAATATGGTCCACTTTGTGTTCCATAGAAATTTTCTGCTGACACAGAATCCGCTAGTTGATCACGTGACTTCATTCGTTGGAATATATTCTAGCAGACGACACTTAGAATTCCGATTACCGCTTGGGATTATAAGGAAATTAGGCCAATAAAAAATGGTGATGTTTGGTAATAAGTTAAATCCGCCATTTTGTATTTACACTTGACCTTGCTTGAAACTACTGGATTCATTCTACTAGCTGATATTGTAGAGAAAACCCATGTTTATCAAAACAAACTAATGCGGAGGTCGCGCAAGGTCGCTAATGTAAATTATTAATCATTTCCGGAAATCCACGAATAATAGGTTTCCACGAAATTAGGTTACTTGACTGTATTTGAAATAGTCACACTTTCCTCCCAGAAAATTTGCGTGAAAATGACTTTTCAGACTTAAAATTCCTGTCTGTAAAATCATGTTTACAAATAATAACTTCTCCAGTGGTTGAAATTTTCATCAGCCCAAAGACTAGTAATTTGTAGTTGATATTTCAATTCATTCGAAAATGATTGGGAAATTCAATTGAGGAATTTTAATGTAGTCAGAGAGTAGTCTACTACTACTATGTAGGCCTGTAGGCCCTATGCTATTTGTTATATCATCCATCGGCCATTACAATTACGAAATTGTTCATATTGTGATAAGTACAGTCTAGTAACCTAATTTCGTGGAAACCTATTATTCGTGGATTTCCGGAAAGGATTAATAATTTACATGAGCGACCTTGTGCGACCTCCGCATTAGCTTGTTTTGATAAACATGAGTTTTCTGTACAATATCAGCTAGTAGAATGAATCCAGTAGTTTCAATCAAGGTAAAATGTATTAATGTATACTTTGACAAATACAAATTGGCGGATATCACTTATTACCAAACGTCACCATTTTTTATTGGCCGAATTTCCTTATAATCCCAAGCGGTAATCGGAATTCCAAGTGTCGTCTGCTAGAATATATTCCAACAAATGAAGTCACATGATCAACTAGCGGATTCCATGTCAGCAGAAAATTTCTATGAAACACAAAGTGGACCATATTCTTATGTTGTTTCAGTGACTTTCAGCAATAAATCACGCTACGTATCTTATTTTGTCAGTCACTATTTTTTTTTTAAAATCGTGGTTCTTTGAAGGAATTGTCACTAGTTATAATGAATTGATATTAAAGATAAATACTAAGAGAGGTTAAATATACCACCCGGTATCCATACAACGTGTTTTTCTCGACTTATTTATAGATCAAACATTGTACACGAAAATAGGCGACGCATTCCGCCTCCGTTGCCGAGTTGGTTGCTCATGAAATGTGGGTCAAAGTGAAGGATTCATTAAGAAAATCGAAATAAACCAATTTTAATTATTTTGTAGAATATCTGAGGAAACATCTAAGACATAAAAATTTGTTTTCGTTTTTTTAACTTTGACGAAATTCGGTGTTGAATCCTTATATCCACGAAAAAAGGTTACACCACTGTATATATTTTGGAACAATTTGAAATTTGGAACATGAACAGACTTGAGTAAACGATTTACACTAAAAAGAATGACAGAACATGTTTACCTTGTGGAAGCTGCCATTTTGAAATAAGGGACGAAACTCTGCGTTTAAATATTTTCAGACTACAATTGAAAAGGCTAGGGGCAATATTCTTGTATATATGAAATTTCAGACCACAGTAAATGAAATGAAATGAATGGAGTTTTACGCCCTTCTTTACATAATAAGTAAAGGCAAATGCTTTGGTACGTTAGGAGGAAGAAACTGAATCCATACTATCCTTGGCAGGAGAAAGCTGAATTTTCGGGTAAATCCAGCCAATAGCCGCATAGTGCCAATAACATAGAAAATTGTTAAGTAAGGCATTTACTCGGTACGATCTGCTAAAGATGCTGTCCAGCTGCCCTTGAGCGTATTTACTATACTATTGCGGCCACAAGCCGTCGGTCTGCTTTTTAAGTCTAATCGCATCCCCTTTCCGACGCACTGGCAATATTCCTACATGAAACTATCTAACCAACGCAAACACACACATACCTTTCTAAACAATTTTCAAAATTATTCCCGTTTTCAGTTTAGTTGATTCGTTCCCTCATCAAATCCATTGTGTCCCACATGGCATGACTAGGAATCTGAAAAAAGCAAAAGGCAAGAAAATCATAGGCTATAGGCCAACATACATGAAAACCAAACTTTGAAGTCCTAGTTTTCTTCTTGTCTATTCTGATTATGCGTTTTTCAAGAAGTACTTTAGCCTTGGATATCTACTGACAACAATGGGCGCCTTGGTTACAGTAAGTTCTATCTTAACCCCTGATTTCAGCTCACTCCCAACTGGGATTTCAATGGCATGTTATAAGGACATGTTGATGGTTTGTCTGATTTGACGTTGATGAAACATGTTCTTAATGGGCCCTCACACCATAGCGATCACCAGTTGTGTACGGTTGCGAATAAGAATTCATTAATTTTGAACGCAGCTCTCATTCAATTGAGTTGTGAGCTGCGTTCGATACTCATATACTTTCATTATTCGCAACCATACGAAACTAGTAATCGCTATGGCGTGTAGGGCGCTTTAAGAAGGTAGATCGAAGACACCCATTATAGAAATTTTCTCTCTGACGAGAAATCATCCCTTAATCAGGACTTTAAAACAATGGTTTTAGTTGGCGAGTTCAAATCTCTATTATACATGTAACTATAAAGTGGTTTCTATACCCTTCTATATAGAACTATCTTGTTGCACCAAGGGCACCACAAAATGCATACACTTCCACGGGTATTTATATATGTAGTAAATAAATGCCAAAACTGCCCTTCTCTTCATGATCGCATCCCGTTTTCAGAAAAATAAAATTGCAGAAAAGCCCTCATGGCTATTCAATTACAGTCTGTGGTCATACAAATAGTTCTGTTAGCTGGTAAAGCAAATATCCAGACTACTTACTGTTTCAGTAGTTCATTCCTTTGACATTGTAGGAATTAAAAAGCCAGAGTGACGCGTCATCACTGAAATAGGACATCCCTCTTCATACGCCCACATGAAAAGAGGGGGGGGGGGGGGGGGGGGGGTATATTGCCATCACCCAAGTCCGTCCGTCGTAAAAACTCTAGAAGGCACAATTCTTGACTGATTTTGACGAAACCTGGTATGATTGTTTGTAACCACCCAAGGATGAACTCTATTGAAACTCAGAAAAATTGAAAAGATTTAGTATGAGTTATAGCCTTTGTTCTTGAAAACGCGTTCAATTTTTAGCTCGTATCATAAAAATATTTCAGGTATATTTTGACAGTTCGGTCATCAGGTCACTTTGCAATCCTTAATATCTCAGACTGTTGGTTTTAACATAGCTGAATGTCAATTATTTATTTGTTTTTCAATTAAAGTTTATCAGAGCAGAACGATTAACAACTTAGATTTCTGCATCTTCAGTCGTGGCCCTTTATACACCAAACGGACTGAGTCAGTAAGGTAGATTGTATTACCTTTAATTTGGTAGGACGAGATAAATTCAAGACTGTCGGTGACAATCTTCATTATCAATCATATCAAACCGTCACCTGTATCGTGTACTAGGTATTTTTCAGCGTATATAATTTTGAACCCTTCAAAGAGGGTGTACAACATAACGAAATATACAGCTGTGACAGTGGTTTCAATATTAGTCTTGTTCGAATATGTTTTATTCATAATCGCATAATTTTAGCGTTAATTTGATATTATTGTGATTTGAAAAATATTGGATAATGGATGTAGAAGGCTCAAGACTCCATTGGGGAGATATTTTAGTTATTGTGGGTTATTTTGTAGCTGTTATTGCTGTGGGAATAATAGTAAGTCCTTCTCTTCTTTTCTATCAATTTGACATTTCATTCAGTTGTAGAAATTACTACAAAGTAAGTTAAAGATCTCTCGACCGTTGGAAATCGAAAAAGGCTATTGCCACTGTCTGTACGAAATTACCATCATTTCACACTGCATGGCGTTACTTGTCTTCATTAGGCCTATTAGGTGCTGAAGAGTAGGACATAAAACACCCTTCATTTCATCTACAAACCTTTTGACAGCCAAAAGTATTAAGTTTTTATATAATTTCTAGATTTTTTCTGTTAAGCTGTTCGAATACTCATATTTGAAGAGATTTCGATATAAAATGGATTTATTATAGTTTGTACGTTTATCATTATGCATAATTCGTTCAAAAGTTACCAAATAAGTGTTTATTTATGAGAAGTAAATCACAACTGCGCAACAAATGAATAGTTTCCTGTACATACAAGGTGTGTTGTGTACAGATATTACAAAGTCATAATTCATTTGTTATTTATTGGCTATATATTTTAATCGGCTTTATCAATGATTAACTCAAAATATGTCGTCGTAAAAAATTCAAATTTTTAAGTCAATTACTTGAACCTTTTGTATTTATGAGTGATATGAATATGCCTGTTTGGGGATGGGTTAGATACAAACTACCACCATATCGTTTTGATAACTCGACACCAATGTAATATTTTCGATTGTTGTGAAATCAGAAAAATGAAAAAAAAAAAACTTGAAGCATAAATGTATGGAAAATTCTGATATTGTTCTCGGATATGTTTCGTAGGAACTGTCAAGTCAGTGCCGTTCTCGTATAGCTATGGATTTTTCCTTTCACACATGGGGACGTTATGGGCGTTTATGTCTCTTCATAGGCCATAAAAAGACTTAAGTATCTTTAACCAAAGGACAAAGAGTTACATAAAAGTTGATATTGACTTAAACGATTATTCAATTCTGATAAACACACTTAATGATCAAGGTTTAGGGACGGCTTGAGCAGCTCTGGACCATCAGGCCAATTGGTTTCCTTGGCCCCCAACCTTACCTATCTTCAATTTTCCCATCGGATTTAGGCTATTATTTATACAATGAATTCGAATAGCCAAAAATATAATTTGAAAAAATAAACAATACCCATTGAAAAAATATTGTCATTGAAGCTGTAAAGCCCCGGTCATGTTTGAGATGTGTACTTATCAAATTAGTTAATGCGAAGTCTGGAGAACTCAAACAGAGAAATAGTATTTACATTAGTCAACAATCTAATTCAATGCATTCCTATTTTAAGCTTTTAACAATTCAAACCCACCAAACAACTTTGTACCTCAAGAGGAATACATTATCATTCACACCCCGTAAGACCGTCAACCATAACGTATTACGGGTCATAGAATATAGAACAAATAATAGATATATAATTATATCACCTTTTCCATGATATAGTTCACATACAATAGCTTATTGACAGCATGCATGTGTGATAAATAAACTAATTATGGGTGCACTAACTCTCTAAAACAATTCGCTTAAAACTTTAACCGAAAATCAGGTAAAGACACTATTACAAAGACATTATTGAATTCCGGTGAAGACATTATGTAAAAAAAAATATCATTGAACTCCGGTAAAGACACTATCACGAGGATAAGATCGAATTCCCGTAAAGACACTATCACAAGATAAGATCGAATTCCCGTAGAGACCCCATCACAAAGATAAGATCGAATTCCCGTAGAGACACTATCACAAAGATAAGATTTAATTCCAGTAAAGACACTGTCACGAGGATAAGATCGAATTCCCGTAAAGACACTATCACAAAGATAAGATCGAATTCCCGTAAAGATACTATCACAAAGATAAGATCGAATTCCCGTAGAGACACTATCACAAAGATAAGATTTAATTCAAGTAAAGACACTATCACGAGGATAGGATCGAATTCCCGTAAAGACACTATCACAAATATATCACTGAACTAGAGTTAAGACAATATCGCAAAGATTGTATCTTACTGAAGTTCAATGATATCTATGTGATAGTATCTTTACAGAAAGATATCACTGAACTTAGATACATATACTATCAATAAGGTGGGATTGAGATTTGTTTAAGATGCTATCAAAAAGGTTTGGACTGGAATTTGATAAAGATTCTATCATAAAGATAGGATTGAAATTTTATACAGATGCAATCATTAAGACTGAACTGAAATTTGGTAAGGATATTATAATAAAGAAAGGAATGGAATTTGGTAAAGATGCTATCATAAAGATATGACTGAAATTTTATAGAGACACTATCATAAAGATAGGACTGATATTCGATATAGATACTTTATAAAGATAGGACTGAAATATGATAAAGATAAAACAACTAGAGCCACACGTGGTACAGAGTGGGACTTTGCAAATGTAGCAAAATGCAAAAGACTCTGAAAAAATCAACCTTCTACGATAATTACATCACGTGCAAGAACAATCTAAAGTTGCGAAGTTTTAATTCTTTGGAAGAATGTTATACCGGAAGTAGACAGACCTCACAAATGAAAGTATCAGAAGATAGCCAAGGTCAAAGACATTTGACATTGAAAAGGAGACGGTCAACAAAAGTCAAGGTTACAAGATACAAGTCATCAAAATTTTGAAATATATCCGGCTATACAATCGAAAGTTGAGACAGCAAATATAAAAGTATAAATAGATGACCTTTGATCCTACAAAAGTCAGGGTAAAAAAAGGTCAAGGTCAAAAATTGAAAATTTTGAATTTTCCAAACCTGTTCCTTTTTTTGAACTATAAAGCTGAAACAATCGAACTTCTAAGACAACGTGGCTCAACAGATGAAGTAATTGTATGCAAAGTTCCATTTTGAACAAATGTATACGTCGCGAGTTATGTGCCTTGCCAAAAATGTCAATAATAAGTAATTTAACCCGGATGTGCCACGCCCACCTCAATTACTTTTGCATAGGTTAATTGGTATTCTGAATGTTATATTGTGTTCCAAATTCAAAGCTTCTACATCATACAAGTCAAAAGAAATAGGTCAACAAATGTCAATAAAGGTCAAAATAGAAAATTGAAAATATGGAAATTTCAAAACCCGTTCCTTTTTTGGAACTATAAAGCTGAAACAATTGATCTATTAACACAAACTGGCCAAAATAATGGGGTAATTGTGTGCAAAGTTCCTTTTTGAACAAATGTATCCTATGCGAGTTATGCCCCTTCCCAAAAATGTAAACAATTAGTAATTCAACCCGGATGTGCCACGCCCACCTCAACTTTTTTGTCGTAGGTTAATTCATATTCAACTTGTCTTCTTGTGTTCCAAGTTTAATGTTCTACATCAAATAGGTCATAAGATATATACACACCAAGCTCAAAGAGACTGAAATATTGTAAAAAAAAAACTCAAATTTGAAAAATTCCCGAATTTCAATTTTGCTTTAAAAAACCATTGTTATATATCGCTGGAAAGAACTTGAAAAGCACATTAAGAATCCGAAAAAATTAACCCTCTAAGTTAATTAGGTCACGTGCTAGAGCAGTCCAAAGTTTTTTTTTCTTCGTTTTTTTGTTATAACTTTGTCTACCTATCAGCATAAAATTTTTTGACCTCTACAAATTACATTGGAAGTCATTCAACCGGAAGTGAAAATCGATTTCCTGTTTAAACCGGAAGTGTAGTTGAAAATTTGACTGTACCATTTTGTTTCCTTTCTTAAACTGTCTTTACTCAATTTTTTTCAGATTAATCAGACAAAAAGCAAAACAATTGAAAAAATGCAAAATTTTGCAAAAAAAATGTCTGCGACAAATTTTCGAATTTTGAAATTTTGAAATTGCTAATCTTTCGGATTTTAACAGTAGTTTCCAAAAATGCAAACCCAAAGAAAATCGACCGAAAAATACGACTTCTAGAGCCGATTTTCTGTTCTTGCACATATTGAACTGTGGCACTTCCGGTTTTGCAACAAAGATCCAAAATATATTTATGCACATCGTCGCCTATATCTAAGGTTCGTGAATGTTGAATGGGTGCTGCAACTATTGTAGTCTAAGCTCAGGAAGGTGTGTAAAAATCGGAAAAAAAAAAAAAAAAGAATTGACATTTCAATAACAAACTGGGACTTTGGTGGGACTGAAATTCGATAGAGATACTTCATAAAGATAGGACTGAAATGTGATAAAGATACTTCATAAAGATAGGACTGAAATTAGATAAAGATAATAAAGATAGGACTGAAATGTGATCAAGTTAAAACAATAAAGATAGGACTGAAATTTGGTAAAGATACTAAATAATACTGAAGATTATAAGACAGATTATTACATTGAAATTCCATTAAGACTACCCTCAAGGCTTTAACGACAATCGATCTGTACTGTTTACTGAATACATATTTGAATTTTTTGATAATTATAAACTGTATAAACTGTTATTTGATACACACATGTACCGCATATTTTCTCGATTTCTTGCATGTTTGCATTTTTCTTTCATACTTTTTTAATCATTAATCTTGATTCATGTACATGTATTGTATTTGTCTATTTTTTTCTATATACTTGTATACAGTTTGTTGGATCAGTGATCCGTATCGCTAGTTGAACTATATTTTGGGAAGAATGTGTTTTTTATAGAAAAGAAATTTTCTTTAATAATAATAGTCTGACCTCAACTTGGCCGACTCCTAAAACTACTGCCCGTGAAAATATAGCTCTATTTATGTTTTTTAATCAGACCTCAACGGCAGTTACCCCTATCCTTAACAGGATAAATGCAATTTACACAAAATTCGTATGCGTTGTACAACATGATATTGTAAAAAAAAAACAACCAGACTTTGCACTCCCAAGAGCAATCTATGACATATATGACTCTGACAAAAAGTCTTTACCTGCAAATTCTTAACTAGCTAACAATAAAAACTATTTTGAAAGAAAGGATCAGCCATAAATGTATAGGATAATAATAGTTTTTACAGAGTGTAGAAAACCCTCGAAAGAGGGTTTTCTGAACTCTGTAAAAACGAGTCCCAGACCATCATTCGACCTATACACTGTTTCCTAATTAAATAATAGGTAAATATGTTGAAGGATCAATCGATATTACCTCCTATGTGATGTGTTTAAACGTTCCTGTAATTTTCAGAAACATTAGGAATATCTAATTCTACATTTAGTATTGAACGATACAAAAATTACGCTCTAAAAATATAGTTTTTAATTTTTAAAATCACCTTAAAAAAAAAAATTTATTTACGTTGTATCTTAACGATGACCAGTGAAAAGTTTACAGGAAAAATAAGGGTATATATTTTTGTATTGAACACATCGTACATATCAATCGTTCACGACATATGACGAGTTGTGTTTCGTTACGATCGGCGCAGATTGATTTTGAATCTTACAAACTAAATTGTCAGTAGCAGATGATCTTTCTTCAACACTTATAAAATATTACAAGACAGACGCTCTTAAACCCATTCAACCGTCCTTCAAATGTAAGACTTGTACCTCAGAAAAAAACCTGGGTAAAACTTGAACCTCAGAATGAAGAACCTGCGTAAAACATGTAGCTCTATTGTATTTGCTGCAATGATGAGTTCACAATACTGTTCATGGAGTACCATCGGAATAAGAAGTGGGAGAGAAATTAGATGAATGGAGTTTTATGTCCTTCTATTCTACACCTAATCGGGCTAATGAAAACGCTATGCACTGCGGACAATTTTTCCAGAACAATTGCTTCAACCTCTTATTTTTCGATTTCGAACTGTCGAGGGATCTTTAACGTGAACAGCCCAGCACATGTCGGTCTTTTGCCACATCCGAAGGACTAGACGCTTCTTCCATGTCAGTGTGGAAATCAGAGAAGTGTAAGAGAAGCTGACAATCTCCCAATCTTTTGAGCCATAATATATTGATTTATTGAATAAAGATTCAGTTTCATATCAAAATAATTATGAAAGGACGAATTAGAAGAATGTGTTCAAGGAGGATTGGGAATCGATATATCATCCTTGTACTGTTTGTCCACAGGATCATGGCACCGTAAATTATTCTTCATTCAAAGATTTTCATCACTCAATAGTGATAATTACTTTCATCCGAGGTCGAGTAAATTTATAATAAAACGATTTTTGTTGTTTTACATCAAACTTAATGAGATAATGAAATGCCATGTGACCATGGCTTATTTCTGTATTTCTGCAAATCTGCACCAGCGTAAAAAATCAGATCAGTACTGTGAAATCTAAGAAAGTCGCGATAACTCACATCAATTAGATATATCATTATCAAAACAACATTTATATTCACAAGAAGACTGAGGAGGCATTGACACCCTTAGAAATGAAACACTTAATAAGAATACAGACAAATACAGATACCACCAGCATAAATAGTGAATACTTTACTACAAGGCTATCATGCTATGAACATTTCCATTGACTTGATTTAATATTTGATGGATATCTTTTATTTTTCAGTCATCATGTCGAAATCGAGGAAGTATCAATGGTTTTTTCTTAGCTGGAAGAAGTATGCATTGGATCCCGGTGAGTTTAAATGCTTTGTGTTTCAGTTTCCTCATTATTATAATCATTAATCTACACGATACAAGATACAAGATCTGTAACTGCAATCTTCTGTTCTTTTGGGCCTATCGGTATTATCCGTTTTCGCAATTATATAAAGTGAAAACTTCTTATCTGGAAATCTAATCGGTACTTCAGTCATATCGTGTACTTAATGGATTTTTTAACAGTGGAATGAGCAATGTGCGAATTTCGGGGCATACTTAGCTTAGCTTAGGTCATACGTACTAAAACGACCTTGAAGCTTTTAGTTTCATTGACCTTGTATGTTAAATCAATGTAAATAATGAAATTGTATCCTGGCTTATGTAAGTTATAATTTGTGAAGAGAAAAGGGGACATTGACATATTAACATATATAGTATATACTTGATATTCATACTCACAAAGTTCCCTTATCAGTCATCCTACACACAATTTTAAAACTGGTACTATCTTTCTCAAGTTTGTGCATTTATCCACCAAGTCAATGTTTAAACGTTAAAGGGTTTACCACCAAACATTTTAAAAGATTGTACTACAATCTCATTTTGGGACTTCTTGAGTGGTGTTCAATGTCTACCTTACGCTTTAAATCAGAATATGAGTGCAACTGGCGGCATCTAGGAGGAACTGATCATTTGCTGGGCGACCTGAGCATTTAGTTCCAGTTGCTCATTTTTCTCTTACTACTAAAATGAAAATACAGAGGCACTTGAATATCCCAGTATAAATTATATGCTAATAGTAGCTAATGAAGAAGTCATTGCTATTGTATTGCTTCCAATAATTTTTAAACGGGAGACTATTGCATTTCCCCACAACAGAATTAAAGAATAACGGTTACATTACGTGATAAAATATCAACTGAATGACGAAATAGTAAATTGACGAGTACAATATATGTATTTCCACAAAAAATCTTTGAGGATACTTATTACTTTCTAATTTCAGATTGGAGCATCTTTATTTGCTAGTAATATTGGAAGTGGACATTTTGTAGGATTAGCTGGCTCTGGGGCAGCTGGTGGTATTGGTATTGCGGTTTTTGAATTAAATGTAGGTACATCCGGTATAGTTGCTATGATATTACAACAAAGCAACTAGCTTTTGTTGATGGAACCATGTCTCAAATATGTAATGTCTTGAAAGAAATAGTGTCAAGTCAAAGATTTTCGTATTAGTTGATGGGAATAGTGGTTCAAATTGTGGATTGTATATAAAACATGAAACGAGCTTACTTTAATCCTGCATATCTGCCTACAACAAATGGGCGCATGCAGCATGGGATTCTGTGGGTCCAAACATTATATCAGGCTATAGTGTAACAAAACTATATTCCCTTAATGCTCACTTTCTTACTTTTTTTCAGGCTATTTTCATATTGATGATTTTAGGATGGATTTTTGTCCCAGTTTACACAGCTGCTGGAGTAAGTAGCAAAGCTTAATTTCAAAGTTTCCTGAAATTCTTTTATATTGATAAATACAATAACATTGCTTCTGTCGGATAAACATGCGACAAATGTGGCAAATTATGAACTTATGGCAAGGGGGGTCAAGTTTTACTTCAATCAACCGAAGTTCAAAAGATTCAATTGACATTACATATAAAAACATTCACTTACTAGTTCGTGCTGAACGGGCGTGATACTTCATTTTCTGGGTGAATCCTACTATACATTAAAGACGAGCGCCAAAGCATTTCATTTGGAGGCTGCCATCTAGGTTGAATGATGTTCGTTCATTGATAATAGCAATAATGTTATATTAAAGGTATATACCATGCCAGAATATCTAAGGAAGAGATTTGGTGGACAGAGAATCAGAATTTATCTCTCAGTATTGGCTCTGCTTCTATATGTTTTCACCAAAATATCCGTAAGTATTTTGAACATCTCCATACTTACAAATATTTTTACAAACAGCGTCGTTTCTTAGGATTCATTCAATCAACCTGTATTTAACTTAGTCTTGTTAATATTGGCAATAATTGTTCCTGGATAATCTGTCCCCTTGTTAACTTGTGGTCGAGTAAAAAAACTAGGAGATATGACCTCTCCACCAGCTTTTTGCACACCACCAAAGATCAGAGTGGCATTTCGACCACAGAAGACTGTTCAAAACCATGGAGGAATATAATAAAATTACTATGTTCAAAGCACAGTTGGACAGCTACGACAGGACAAATGATATTTGACTGAGTGAATGAAGATTCCCTTTAGTCGAAGACGCTCTTTTTTTACAGGCTGATTTATATTCTGGAGCTATATTCTTGACCCAAGCTTTGCCAGAGCTTAATTTATATGTAGCTGTCATTATTTTATTAGCAGTGGCTGCTCTTTTTACTATTGGAGGTAGGTATGACTGTTTGAAGAGCGAGTCAGTTTTATCATTTCAAATTCAGATCTATGATCCTACGGCGTCTAATGATTTGAGAGTGTGCTTGATGGTTGTTGGTGGGATTTTGATTTTGGCGCAAGTCTAGATAGCCCAGACGTATTTTCAGTTTCCGGTGCCTTTAATGAAGATAAGATTTGCTGCCATTTCAAATTTTTGTCCGATGGTGTGAGATTCGACAATAAAATTGTGTGTTAAAATATGATATGGTCCCATACTGCGTCACGCAACAATGTTACCAGTGCCAGTAAAACTTTCACATAGTATACATACTGTTGGTCCTTATTATTTGTGTTTTTATGTTTTTCAGGCGGTCTGACTGCTGTAATCTGGACAGATTTCATACAAACAGTTATCATGTTAGTTGGTGGTTTTATTCTTATGATAATGAGTAAGTATGTTTCCATTGTTCCTCTTTAGAAATCTTTAACTCTTAAAGTGAACTAATTTATATAAGCTTTCTTGATATCACCTCATGGCTTAGATGGAAACCAACCATAACAACTACGTCACAGTGCTTGCTTACCATTCCGAAATACCTGATAACAAATCATTATCTCTTTCAAAGAGTCCACTTTTAATGTGTTTTGTCATTTTTGTATAATTATGCAGTGGCGGAGTCAGGTTTATGTCCGAGGGGTGGGGGCTTACGAAATATCTGAGATTTCCCGAATTTCTAAACTAGTTACGAGATTTTTGCCCGAAAAACATGCTTTCAGGGCTGCGAGGAGCCTGCCCCCTCTGACACCCCCAACCCTTGGCTCCGCCACTGTTTTTATCTATATCATATTCCTTATATTTTGTACTCTCCATCCAGGTTTCGTTAAAGTTGGTGGATATGAGAATCTGGTAAAGGAATACTTTGAAGCTTGGCCAAATACAACTAAGGCAAATATTGGATTGAACAACAACTACAGCTATACAGATTGTGGAAAACCACCAGCCAACGCAATGAATTTTATTCGAGCAGCTGATGATGGATCTTTACCGTGGCCAGGAATCTTTTTTGGATTGACCATTTCGTCTATTTGGTATTGGTGTTCTGATCAGGTGAGTCTCAATTTCGAGGAGCAAACTCGTTTCGATAGAAATAAGATTCATCTGTTACTGTATATATATGTTGAATATGATTAAAATCCTCATTAGAACACTAGTGGTGGAAATAGTGTTTCGTTTCCTGAAGCACGACTTTCGTGACTTAACCTTTAAAATGTACTCCTTTGGGATGGCAGAGATACATTGGTCTTGTGAATTACATCACAAGTGATGTATCTCATCAAATCAATGTTCAGATAGCTATGAGTCTTACGATCATGTTGATTTAGATTTCAAAAGTCCTTAAGAGTGTACAGAACAAAGGACACGTAGTGAATAACATTTCCTGAAAGAACGATTCTTGTTTCAGGTCATTGTACAAAGAGCACTTGCAGCTAAGAATATTTCCAACGCTAAAGCCGGTACAATCCTTGCTGGTTATTTGAAATTTTTACCACTTTTCCTTATCGTATTTCCTGGTATGATCTCAAGAATTCTTTTCCCAAGTGAGTTCTTTCAATTTTTTGATCACTTGAGCCATTAAAACACGCCAATTTCTGCATCGGTTCAAGCGTCTATTTTTATGAAACAGTTCAAAAAAACGTTTTGCCATTTTACTACGTAGAAGGGGTCAGTTAACCGCTATGTTAGTTTTTGCAAATTGAACGTAGAGCAGATGACTTTGTGTGATTATTTCCCTTTCTTCAATACATCTTGTTGTTCTTCGCCTAAAAGAAAGAAGCAGTAAACACGTATCCTTGAACAAAAATCAACAATAGTTTTTAAAAAGACCACACTTTGTATCGATGTGTGACTCAAACTTTTGGGTTGAAAATTTGTACTATCCACAGATTCATGGTTATTGACAAAAATATCCCAAAATTATGTAAAAAACCAAAAACTGAAGGTCTAACTGATACAGAATAGTCATCTTTAGAAAGATGTTGATTAAGCATTTTCTTTCCCAAACATTTCAGATACTGTTGGTTGTGCTGATCCTGATGTATGTTATGAAGTATGTAAGAGTCGAGCAGGATGTACCAACATTGCTTACCCTACTCTGGTGTTAGAGATAATGCCTGCTGGGTTAAGAGGACTGATGTTGGCTGTAATGATGTCAGCTCTGATCTCGTCACTCACCTCTATATTTAACAGTAGTAGTACAATCTTTACTATGGATATTTGGAGAAGAATCCGAACCAATGCTACAGAAGTTGAACTTATGATCGTTGGAAGGTAACCAGATTCAAATGAATGTAATACCAACTCAAATTCTTTCTCATAAGATATGACAGTCTAATAATGATTGTGCTGTAGGTAGAGAAATGTAGACCCACAAGGCAGAACTTTGTGGTTACATCAAATCATAAACTATGAGAACACATTCCATGGAATTAACGAAAACACATTTCAGCAACGAATCGTATTGGTATCAAAATATTTATATCTTTATTTCAGAGTTTGTGTGTTGATATTAGTAGGTGTAAGCATAGCCTGGATTCCTATTGTACAAAATATATCAGAACTGTTCCATTATATACAGTCTATAACTAGCTACTTGGCACCACCAGTCTGTGCAGTTTATGTTTTGGCTGTTTTCTGGAAACGCACAAATGAACTGGTAAGTTCATATATATGTTATTTAAATGTCTCAGGTATCTATTTCAAAGAGAAAAGGAAAAGACCTTAAAAGTCCAAAATATAACGAATAAGTATTTATTTTTTGCCGTAATTGGTTACACCGGTTACAAACAGTGTGTGGTATTGTGCAAAATTAATATCAAAATAGTAAAATAGGACAATCTACAGATGATAAAATGTTATTATCAAAACTAAATCGTTTAACTCTATGTGCAAATTTGGTTTTGGTCGCATTTGTGTCTTTGTTCTTACATTTTTGAAGATTTTTGATTTAGCATGTAAGACAAAGATGATGGCTTACCTTTTCACCAAATGATTTTTCGAATGATATAAAGCAGGTTCTGGTAAAGCCAATGTATTTTTCAGGGAGCTTTCTGGGGTCTCATGGCAGGATTAGTGGTCGGATTAATCAGATTTGGATGGGAATTCTCTTATGACCCGCTTCCTTGTGGTGAAGAAGATAAAGATACGCGTCCAGATATTATCAAGAAAGTCCATTACTTACATTTTGGTATCATATTATTTGGTATTGTGGTCATTGTAACATGGATTATTAGTGTATTGACTGCACCTATTCCAGATAAATATGTAAGTATACAGTTAAGCTCACTCTTAACCTCATAGGCTATATATAGGCTCTTTTTGATCATTGCTGTATAGGTGGTGCCCGTCATAGTTTACCGATATCCAGAACCATTGACCAAAATATTTATGTTTCGTTACACACCGTGAACGCGATTTTTACATCATTAAAAAAATGTTACGGCTATGGAGCAATAAAAAACGAGAGTTAAAGTTGTATAGTAATGGATTCATCTGGTGTTTCCAAAAGAGTAACCATGATCTGCTTCAACACCGGTCCAAATCATGAGATGGTTGAATACAGTGGTACCTTTCATGAAATGTGATACACACTCCATCTAATGACACTAACTAACCAACAGATGGTGTTAAACACTGCATGTTCCATTGGTCCATATAATAAGTTTCACGTCTTCCATTTACTTAATTCTTTCAGCTGCACAGACTAACATTCTGGGATAGATTCAATACTCAAGAGCGAGTTGATATCGATGAAGAGGAGAAGGCGAACGAGCCCCAGAAACCCAAAGAGAAAATCTTCACAGACGGTACGTATATTAAAACTTTAGAAATGAAAAGATAGAAATACTGCTCCATTTATTCCAAATACTAATTGCTTGCATCATAAGAAATTTAAAACCAGTCAAACCAAGATCACTTGGCAGGGTAGAAATAGGTAACGATTAATTCAAATGCTCAAAAGCATTCTCTTTTGAAATTTAAATCTAATTTTTCATTGCAGACGACTATGATTCCCTACCATGTCATAAGAAAGCATTCCAATGGATCTGTGGTATTGAGAAAATGAATGAAGACAATGAACCTACAGTGGAAGAGAAGAAGATCATCGAGATGAAACAGACGTCTATTTATGAATCTTCTTTCTGGAGTAGGGTCTTGAATGTCAATGCTATAATATTGATGACCGTTGCGGTTTTCCTGTGGGGATTCTGGGCCTAGGTACCTCTAAAGTCGATGGCTGTATCCGGTATAGTTTAAAGACAAATTTTATAATGCTAATGTGATACTTTATTTACACACATCGGACAATTAACCATATTAGATGGCTTGTTGAAGATAGTGTTTTTTCTTTTTGGTATTCAAGTGTAATTTCAGTTCCACCAAAATATAATCCATCAGATCAGACCGATCAGATTGATACCCTGAATTTTACAAACACCGAATCTTTGTTCATTAGTGGCTAATATAATTCAACTTGAGCTGAGACCTTGGTTAATTATTTGTTCATCTGTTCTATGAATTCTGTCAGAGCTGATGACGTGGGTACGCAGTAGCTCTAATACACCATGCTCTTCTGGCAATAATCAAAACTTGACCGAAAATCCACCAATCTTGTGTATTGACAAATTGAAAATAAAAGAAATCAAGATTCATATCCAATGAATATTTATACAAATTAAGATATTTTGTCTCTGAAATAACTTGCCAATTGTTTCGATTAACATATTTTGTAGATGTGTAGATATAATACTAACTTACCTTACAATATCACTCCCTCCGACACTTGTATATGACTAGTATCGACACTTATATAAGATCTGTATCGACACTTGCATCTCATCTGTATCGACACTTGCATCTATTCTGTATCGACACTTGTATCAGACTGGCATCGACACTTGAATCTAACTTGTATCGACACTTGTATCTAACTAGTATCGACACTTGTATAAGATCTGTATCGACACTTGCATCTATTCTGTATCGACACTTGTATCAGACAAGTATCGTCACTTGAATCTAACTTGTATCGACAGTTGTATCTGACTAGTATCGACATTTGTATCAGACTAGTATGACAATTGTATAATATCTGTATCGACACTTGTATCTAACTTGTATTGACATTTGTATCTTACTTGTATCGACACTTGTATCTAACTTGTATCGATACATGTAGTTGAAGTATATTTTCATAAAAAAAAAAACAATTTTATTGACATGACAAAAAGTTTACCATATTCAAAAGATAAATTTGATCATTGATGGCCAAAAATCTTTTATCAACTTTTTTCAATTTTTGTTAACCTAGGTTCCCTTATTTTAAATTTATTTAATAAGAATCGTTGAATCAGTGTATATTTGGGGTATATCTTAGAAAACTTAGAAATATTAAATTGTACATTTTGTAGAATAGATCGTTTTAATTGAAGTCATAACATGAATTCCTTTCATTGAATTCAATAGTATTTCCATTTTAATTAATAAATAATTTATATAATAGATTATATTTGGGTGTTATTTTATGAAGAGTACAGGTTGGGCTAGTTTGTGGAGAGTTGACAATCGAAAAGAGTTGAATAATATGTACATATGTACATAGAAACGCTGGGTTGAACTATGGTGTGTCTATGCACATAAAGACGATGGGTTGAACTATGCTGTGTCTATGCACATAGAAACTATGGGTTGAACTATGCTGTGTCTATGTACATAGAAACTATGGGTTGAACTATGCTGTGCCTATGTACATAGAAACGATGGGTTGAACTATGGTGTGTCTATGCACATAGAAACTATGGGTTGAACTATGCTGTGCCTTTGCACATAGAAACGATGGGCTAAACTATGCTGTGTCTATGCACATAGAAACGATGGGTTGAACTATGCTGAGTCTATGCAGTAAAAAGGAAAACATTGAGAAAGATTTTGTATTCATTTATTAATAATGAAAAAAAAACGTGACAATCTCAACAAGCAGCGTAAATCTGAAAGAAAAATCCAAAGTAATGATTATATAGAACTTATAAATGTTAAGTTTATTTTTATTTTATGCTATTTGTTTCTAGAGTAAAGAATTGTGACATAATTAATTCGTATAGAACCTGAGACAAGATATGTTTTGCCTAAAACCCTCGTTACAGCATTCCCATATCAAGTCAACTCTTAATAGCTTCCATTTTCGTTACTCAATGAGAGTGTAGATTTCTGGGCATGAGGCTGGTTAAGAAAAATTACTTACAGCTTCTAAATATGTCTGGAATTCTGATACAGAAATGACACCACTGCCTAAAATACAAGATTGCGTTATAAAGTAAATTCGTTCAATAATGACATAGTGTCTGAGCTGCCAATTAATTAAATTGAGTTCTCACAGCTTGCCTCAATCATAGCTACCTTTTTGCGTTCATTCCTGTGGTCCAAAAATATAGAGAACCATGCTCTGAATAATCAAAAAGTCTACATACCGTCAGTGTCGGCTCTGTTTTCTAATAAAGGAATATCATCAATATTCAGAACTCCATCAGTTTTCATATCAATATGATCGAACACATGTTCAGCGAATGCTTTTTCATCTTTGTAAGTTGCGTGCCATTGGTTGGCGAATTCTGTTCTGTCTACTTCACCATTTTCTAAAAACAGAATTATTAAGCTATATCAGAAAGGGCCAATGTAGGAGGTTTAACATTAAATTCAAACGACAAACACCAATCATCTCACATGATAAGAAAATGCAAACAATATCTCGTTTCATATAATTTCTGCTACTTCATTCACACTATGATATTAAGACAGCTCCATCCAATCAAATGCTCTGTTAGCGATCAACCTTCGGGTATTCATCAGGAATAGTATATTCCAACACTGGGACTTTGCATGAATTATTTCTTCAAATTTTGCCTGAATTAAACTTAGTGATGTAACCATATGATATCATGAGTATATCATGTAAACTTACTATTATGATCGAAATTGAAAACAAAGAATTGGACAACATCTAGGTCAGTAATGGAACCATCTCGATCATGATCAGCATCACGAACTACTTCAGCTATAACTTGTTCTTCAGTTTTCTGGGCAATATTGGAATGTTTACATGCTTCTTCAGCCCAACAGCTGAAATATTCAATACAAATAACAGTTTGAATATCTTTTTACAGTACTCAGTACCCTTTCAGTAACCAATCAATAGGCCCATGGATGTTTAAATATCCTAGTACCACGCCTGCATGTTGTTGAAAACGTCATTTTAGCGACACAGAACACTGACATTTTACAGTTGCATAGCAATTATATTTGAGCAATATTGAAAACTGACATTTTAGAAATTCAAAAAAGTGATGTTTTTAAGTTTCAGAGCACTGACATCTTAACGTTTCACCACACGTTTCTGACCATTTTAACGTTAAAGACCACTGACGTTTTAACGTTCCAAAAAAAAAAGATATTTTTAATTTTCAGAACACTAACGTTTTAACGTTTCAGAACACTAACGTTTTAACGTTTCAGAACACTGACATTTTAACGTTCCAGAAAACTGACATTTTTAAGCTTCAGAACACAGACATTTTAACGATTCAAAACACTAACATTTTAACGTTCCAAAAAATGACATTTTTCAGTTTCAGAACACTGCTATTTTAACGTTTCAGAACACTGACATTTTAACGTTTCAGAACACTGACATTTTAACGTTTCAGAACACTGACATTTTAACTTTCAGAACCCTGACATTTTAACTCTCAGAACATTGAATACAGTTTGCAGGACTCTGATCATGACACGTTTCAGAATAGTGACATTTCACAATGCCAGAATACAGAGGTTTTTAAGTCAATAAGACTTTTGTATCACAGCTAAAAGTTTCAGTAAACTTAAAAACAAATGATTTCTACGTTATCTAAAATATTACTGCATACTCACCTGACAAGAAGGACAGCTAAACAGACGAAGGCTTTCATTTTTGTTCCTGTAAAGGAAATATAAAGTATATTGCACTCAATTCAAATTCAAAGGCAAAAAACAACTAATTAACTTCTAATAAAACAATAATTGTCAAATGGTAACTGAAACTGCCCAGAGAACTACGAACTAGAAAAAGTATAAATCTTGCAATGTCTTGCATGGGGACCTACTTGGCCCAAGTGTAAATAAAAATGGAGAATCAGTTCAACAGTTTAATAGAAAACAAAAAGTAGAAAGGATCCAAGTTGATATCCGGGTAAGTTTTAGTTTTGCTAATAGTTTAGAGTGAAAAAGAAAAGTGATTTTTTTAAGATTTAATTCCAACTTTTACCTGATGAAGTTCTGCCGAAATGAGACCAACTGCGAGTTTCCCAATATATATACACTCTTTATGCTACGTCATATCTACACGAACTGGCTGATGCCCTGCATTCTTATCTAATGTCAAACTATTTCAATTTAAATCCTTGCAAATCTTGATAATAGATAAAAGAAAGTTGCCTGCTGTTTTCTTCCTTTCTTTCTAGATCGTTCCGTCGAAAACGTTGCGTACTGAAAAAAATCATTGGTTCATACGTCCCATATGTGCCTATGAAAATTTATACGAAATTCAAGATGACCTGATATCACCCTCAAAGTCTTCAAAAGCTTTTCTGTTTAAAATAAATGGTGCGCTTTGATCAAAAAGTAAAAATTATGTTCTACTTGTTTTCAATCTTAGCTTCCAAAACCTAGAAATTCAGAATATTTAGTCGAACACCTCTTTATAAGGAAACAGCTGAAAATGCTCTCGCCTCATTTACTCTAAGAACAATAAAATGTTGAATGAAATGATTTTTAATTCAAAATCGGATTTGTCTATCAAAGATTTAAATTTTTAAAAACCCGATCATTTGTCAAACCACCTTGTTTTCAAGAAGTTTTTGCACAAAAGGTCTACTAAGAATACAATTATTGTCCGTTGTTGATGGCTATTTCAGGAAAGTTTATCCGGTGAAAAGTTTTCTAGGGTCCATGCCTTATGCTGGTTTTCGGTTTACGTATTAAAGTACTGTTCCTTATCACACAAGTTGATAAGATTGCACCATTTTGCATGTATTTTTACAGATGGCCATTTGAACTATTTTTGTCTTGACAAAAAGCATGACGCACCTCTTCTCTGCATTAGTCTGCTCATTCCTTTCTTATTGACGGTTTCATATTTTGGTGCAAGATGATAGCTTTTATCTGTGTTTTGGGTTTTATCAGTGGGTATGTTCTGGTTTGTCTGCTATCTGGCAAAAAGTTCTCGACATGTACGATTGTGTCGCCAATGAACTTGAGTCCACTGGGCGTAAATGGGCATAAATAATGCGCAATTGCGATACATAGTATTAGCCTTTTACCTCCTTTCAACCATATAATGAAAATATTGCTCTGGGTTGCAAACGATAGATCAAAATATAATATCCTCTGTTGAAATTTGATTTTCTAGTTGTTTAGCAGCACCATGTACACATACCAACTCAGCTGAACATACAGAAGAACAGGTTATCGCAAGAGTTATAGCGCTAGCTGATCATAATAACGATGGGATTTTAAGTGTTACTGATTTAGCAGCTTACTTTGTCATCAACTTTGACCATAATCGTAAGTAGAATTTTCATTCAGATTTACACCAATCAGTCCACTATATTGATTTTATCTTCCTAGAGAATTCCAATCCAATTTCACTGTCGTCACTTCCGGTGTCATATACCTTCATTTGGAGACTAGCGCTGTATTTCATTCTGGAAACTTTTGTTGGATGACGTCACTTATCTCAAAATAATTATGCTTTATCACAATTAAGGCTCTCTGCCTTTCGTGACGTCATCATTAAAACATTAGAAAACTTCTTTACAATTCCTTTATAGGTGCATAAATCCAGTTTGTTTCTACGAGTTCCGCCAATTCTAGATTTTGAGTAAACCTTTTTTAATAACATGACAATATTTATATTAAACAGATAATTCAGAAGTCGACAAAAACGAATTCATTCTTCAATGGCATGAAACATTCCACGATGAAAAGGCCTTTGCAGAGCACGTTTTTACCCATTTTGATACAAACGCAGATAACGTGCTTAATCTCAGTGATCTTTTCGCCCTCAATATCAGACTGGATACAGATGGTAATGTATTTCTTGACTTTAACTGATGTAACAAAGTTTTTGTTGTTGAAAGATCTGCTTATTGAATCAAGCATTTGGTTCTTTTTCTCATTCTTGATTCAAGTTTGTAATAGCCTGACGAGACTGACCTGAGATTATATCTTGATAGATAGATTGGACATTATGATAATATTCTGAATCAAATCAGTAATGGCCATCTTTGAATTGCCCACAAATTGGGAAGATCTTTTTTTAACAGTTTTAGTATTTAAGTCAAAAGTTATTTCATCTCTTTTACCTATCGTAGGTAATGGAACAGTTACTAATAAAGAACTTGAAAGCTATCTTCAACTAGTAAGTGAACTGTTAATTTCTAATAATTTCAAAGACTCTTGAGAGTGGTATTTGGTGAAGACTTAATGGCACATCCATGATGATTCTTCAAATGAAACAACCCAGAAAAAACCAACTTCTTATATAATTGGAAGTTTGCTGCATGGTAAAATTCAAATCCCGTGATAAACCCCTCCTATTCATGCATATGTTTGCCGTACAAAGAAATTTTTTCTGTTGTCAGACTGGCAGTTTTAGATTAGTTAATCATATCCAAAGTCTTTAAGCATTTCATCAGTTAAAACTTTCTTTTTTCATTTCAGATTTACAACGCCTGTTAATTGATAGTCGAAATAAAACGTTTCTGATGTAGAATTTCAGTGGTTAAAAAAAAATCAAAAATAACGTTTGAATCTTTATATCTAATCCTGACTAGGAAAGCTAAGCAATACATGGTCGATCTGAACCAAGCGTTTATTGAATTTGTCTCTTTGATGTAGATAAACAAAGGCACTGTCTTTGACCTTTGGATTCCTTTTATGTTCCATTATCTGAAAAGTAGTCACGTGTAGCCATAACATTAACGTGGCAATTTTCAGTGGCAACGGTAGCTTTAAGAAGAATTAAGTCCACTTCCAAATGAGTATAAAATTACTTGATTTTGCCTTAATAAAACTCACATATTTTCCAATTATACTAAAATAATTTATCAAACAAGTAAAAAAAATATGAAAAGTGTATAGAAAGTAAGAATATATCAAAAGCAGATCACATTTGTGATTTTATTTCTCAAAACTAGGAAACCCATCATTTTGACATATTGGGTATGGTTGCCAATGGTGTGCGTGAAAAAAAAATTATGTGTGTGATTTGGCCTTGGGGAGTTCAAAACAATTTACGCCACTAGCCTAGCTAGTTCCGGATATAGACTTATTTTTTACATCATTTGGCGACAAAGAGCTAGCATTTTGATTTTTACTTAGTTTTCTAGAGACCATATTTCGCAGTTCATCGTGACTTAAAGGACGTATGTCTTGTTCTTCTTCAAATGGTTCATCATCGTCCCTGAAATATAAATATACTCATCTAAGAGACAAGATCTAATGGCGTTTTTAAGTTTCGAGGCCCACACGAGAAATATAGAAAAATTGACTAAATACTACCAATAAGAAATCCTAACAAGCAAAACAATCACATTAACGAAAAATCCCGTCCAAATGTGATTCATTAGATGGTTGGTTGCATATTCCGACCGCTTATGTCGATTATCACATTCAATTTTTAAAAGAAAGTGGTGGATCAGTTTGACTCTTTCCAGGTTGATCATTTTCGTCTGATTGCCAACAGTTTACAGCATAGGCCTTAAACAATAGAAATGAAATTGGACAGTGGCATAGTGGTGTTTAAGCGCCAGGAAATGAAATGAAATGAATGGAGTTTTACGTCCTACTTTTCTACACTTTGTGGTCTAATGAAGACGGGGTGATTGATAGTAAAGGCAACACGTAAGATGAACCCTAATTGATTCTACCGACGCAATTTAACATCTATAAGCTTGGCTTGAATTTTATCGTTATTGATGTCATGGAACGACATTCTGTACATTTTTGTAGAATTGTAGAAAAACCGGATGTAGGATTTGAAATCTGAAAAGCTTCAGTGGCTACATTCAAGTCATAGTCGAATATATTTTTTGATAGAAAGATATGACATCGTGAAAGGATATTTCTAATGATATGCATGATATTGGTAAAACTATTGAAATTAATATTAGTTAGTGTGCATGACAAATGTAAACAATTTCCCGCTATACGTACCCTAAACTTGGAGCTTGAATAGATAATGGTGGTACAGCAGGTGTTCTGATTCTCTTTATTTCAGCTTCTTCTTCTTGTTGTTTCTTCTTTTTACTATCTTTACTATCTTTCTCTGGTTGAGCTTTCTGTAAAAATAGTACGCAATGCATCACATGAAAAGTTGTCCATGGGTGAACCCAAATGATTTTATTTCGATTTCGGGAAAGGGATCTCAGCCAGAAAAAAAATTCACTACCGTATATGTTGTATTGTGACCCAAAAACTCTCAGACCAGAAATCGTTTTATCGGGTCACGGTGTAATTGCGTTGTAACGGTTCCGAACATTTGGTGTATTAATGAGATTATAAGAATTTGCTGTTCAACACTTAACACTGCAGCAATTAAAAATTGTTCGACATGAGGTTGACTACTCATTACAAACCTTCATATCGATGTAATGTATTATATGCAGTAACTCCATGGTACGATGTTCAATGATTCCCATGTAGAGCAAGATATTTTTCTCTGTAACTCCGTCTTCACTTCCCAACATTTCCTTGATAGCAGAGCTATCACATTTTAAACCACTAAATAAAGAGTTGACTCCTTCTGTTAGTTTGTTTAATTTATCGGAACATTCACTGATTCTTGATACTGCCAGCTCTGTCTCTTGTTTAGCTATTTTGCTTTGCGTCTGTGAAGAAAGAGAGCAATCATCGGATTAAATGTTTTACGTCATGCAACAAAAAGGAATCTGGAAGTGAAGATGAGAATGACATTTCTGCTTGACTAATCATCCAGTAAAGTCTATAATACACCATCATTTAACAGGTATACCAGTTACTGGTGCTGATGACGAAGCAAAAACTATGATACACCCCATGAGCACTTATAGATAATAGGTCCCTTTACAAGATACTGATGCTGATGATGATGATCATTAGGATGAAGATGCATTTAAGACTATATGACACAGCTGATGTAATTAATTTGTTTTATGTTAAACTACATGGGGCCAAGTTATTTAAAAGTCCGTTTACTTGACAGATTGTTTAGCTTTAACATGAAACTGGAAGTTTCTCAACCATGAATTTGTGCCGAGCGCTGAAACGATATTGATAAACAAAAAAACATCTAGAATCTTACCTCAAATTCTAACAGAAAATCTCTTCTTTCGGCTTCCATCTTGACGTCATCTTCTTCAAATCTTTGTATTTCCTGTTTAGTTGTACTTATGTCTTCTTGGAGTTTTTCCACTTCGTTGTTTAACTCGTTTACAAAACTGAACAAGGCAAAGTTTTCGTTTTCTTTTCTGAGAAATTCTGAAGTAATAGCTGCAAAATCCTGCTCTCCAGTGATGTTTCTGATTTCTTGAGCAGCTTCTTCGTACGTCTCTATCTGAGCTGTTTCAGCTCCTAAATCACCATCTCGATTTGCTGCGAAATAAAGTAAATTTGAATAAAAAAATTTTCATTGAGTTAACTTTTGGACTCTCTGATTTAACAGTATGTATGACATATGCACTGCAAGAAATAGATAAGACAAGTCAATGCCAAAAAAATGGCGGTCTACATTCATTTTTGGATAAGAATTGAACACAAAGTCGGCTTGACCCTAAAAATTCGCGTGGGTGATCAAAATCAAACAAATCGTGATTTGCATGCCATGTCTGTTGCTTTAAGGAATCCGAGGCTTAAGATTTCATTTCAATTCGGAAGACTTATTACATTTTTTTTTCTTGGCTTCTTCTTCCTCCTTGAATTCAGCTCTATCATTAGCTTTAATCATCATAAATTCTTTCAGCTTATTATCATGATCAATGAATCTTTGTAATTCTTTCATTTCCAAATCATACTGAGCTTGATCTTTCTCACTGCGTTCTTTTAGTGCCACCATTTTATTGTAAGCTTCATCTCTACAAATCAACAAACGTTTTATCAAGCATCAATTCACAGATCCACTGAATCCGGGAGAATCTGGACGATAGCTATATTTAATGGCACCTACGGTAGAGATATCGCAGCAAAAATTGGATCTGGTCGTCGACAGGAAGCGGTCGAAATATCAACCAGATAGCAGTCGGTTTATTGGTCGATACGAGGATCAAACATATAATTGTATCTCAGGGTAGCTGCTGAAATACAGGTTTATAGAGGTTTATAATGGAACTTCGCCAACGCAAGGAAAGACTCTCATGCAACATCAGAAGTTTTTGAAAGTCACACCTTCCCAAGCTCTTATACTTTGCCCTAACTGCAGCGTTAAAAAACACGGACGTGTATGTATCAGTATCACCTACCCACCTCTGTTCATAAGCCTGTGAAGCTTCTTCAATAAATTGAGACATTTCTTTTCTAAGTTGTTGAAGTTCTTTGTCCAACTTATTAAAGATACTAGTAAAGAGGTTTCTCTCTTGTCTAGAATGGTCAATTAATTTACGTTGTTTGGTATTGATAGCAAGTTGTTCGTTAAACTTAACCGTGCTCTGAAAAACAGTGGAATATCTTAAAATAAAACATATCTTTATTGGTTATTACATACGTACACTATGACAATATCAATAGGATAGTCTGTTCGCGGGTTCAACAACCGAGTATATAGTACTTAAACTTTGTGGGAAATGACTCGAAATCATTAAATTTTAAAGGAATGAAGAAGAATGGACATAAACTTGGTCCATAAGATCATCAGTTGGACTTACCAGGTGCCATGGCTAAAGAAAGGAACCTCTAAGATGATATAACCATCAAACTTAAAGTTTGTAAGCTTATGTCAAAATTGCTTAATTTGGTGGATTATTACTTAGTTTCATGATAGTTATGACACCAGTTAAGTCCACTGATGAACAAAGACTCATTTAAAAATTCAATTAATAATTTTTCACCGTATGTCAACTTGGCGGAAATTACTTCTGAGATAGCTTTCTTGATGCTTCAATAAATACTTCTTAGACGAACGCATGACAAGTTTCTGGGTGTCGGATAACGAGCAAGCTAATATGACTCTAGCATCCTGTACCTGGCCTAATCTGTTCTCCAACACTCTTGTTCTTTTACGTATCATCATCTCAGCTGATACACAAGTATCCGAACCATTCGCTTTTCTTTGTTGAGCTAACTCCTTTTCCATTTTCTTAATCTGAAATTAATGATTTAAAGCTGCATTTGTAAATGATAAAATAATATGTCACATATTATTCGAATTGCATTTTGACTTTTATCTTTTTATACACAATCTGCATTATAGCTAATTCTTGCCGCATATAACTGCCATTGTGACTAGAAAAAATTCTCTGTAGTTTCGACCAAAGGCGAGCCGAATTACCGACCATCCAGTTGATGAACATTGGCACAATGGTAGTTGCGTTGCCTATAATCAGAATGGCAATATAACTGAGACTGACTTAGTAATAGAATAATCAGATTAGAAATTGTGAAACCCAGCCATAATCTACCTCAACATCCAATTCTGCAATTTTCTTCTTTTCTTCTTCACCAGCAAGTTCATATTCATCCTTCAACTCGACAAGATGTTGTAATATATAGGTGTTGTTCTCATCTAGGTTACAGTTCTTGTCACTCTGTGCTAATTTTAGAACTGTACCCAATTCTTTATCCTCTCTCAGTAGAGTCTTAATCTGACTTCTGTAATTAAAGGGAGATAACTTTCATTTTTCATTTATTTTGCCAGCTGAAAAATCTCAAAATTGATACACAACAGTTATAATATCTATTGTATAATACCCAGAATTATCTTATATTTTTATGTAGGAATGACACCATAAAGAAAAATAGCCTATAAGTATAATCTAAATAGGTCGAGAGTTTATTTAAATCTCGGTACCAAAAGCCTTCCAAAATAAAAATGAGGTGTTCATTGATGCCTCTGTTTTGTAAAATAGATGCTGGTTCACAAGATTTGGAACGGTTGTTCGAAATAAATGTAAATAGTTGTTATTATTTATGCCACTCCAAAATCAATGCTTTCTTCGGATGGAGATTTGAGAAGCTGGAATTTTGGGCTATTGTGGAAAGTAATTTTTTGTCTGCGTCAAAGACCCCTGGTTCGAATTTTATGAGCTAAAATGTTGTACTGGACTTGACAGCTTCGTGGAAGTCTCTAATTGTATACTAAATTGTCCCAATGTCTCTGGAAAGTCAGATTTGTCTTCATCAAAAAGTAGATCTCATAGTTCATTCTAGATTAATAAAGGTGGTAGAGCTCTTAAAACATTTGTCGAATTTGAGCTCCACTATGAGCATTGCAACTGGTATAAGTCGAGATGTGTGATTTCCAGGACGAGAATAATAAAATTTGTTTCATTGTTATCTGAATAAGAATGCAAGATGTTGTGTTGCTTATTAGAGCGAAAACAACACCATCTGTTGATCTGCTCAGAAGTTATGTTATGTAATTCTCAAAGATCTTTATTTTTATTCAGTTTTCAGCTTTTCTTTTGAAAGTTACTTGTTAAATGTTTAAGATAAAATTTTTGCGACGACAGGGGCATTGGCAAACACATTTTGGATCTATGAATATATCGTGCACTGTCCGTGGCACACTCTGTCTGGGTATTGTCTCATCAGAACTCGAAGACTCCTTCTCTAGGAGAGCAACACCGACTTGGCCCATATTGGTCATTTCGTCACTGAAATTTGGAGCGAATTGAAAAACCGAAGATTTTATCACGACCAATGATGTGAACAAACCACACAGTACTTCAGACAAGCAAGCAAAATGTCTAAGTCACTGTCCACACGTCGCACACTAACTTACTTTTGTTTCCTTATGATATTTCCAGTTTCTTCTGCATAAGCTCTTTTATCTGATTCCATGACTCGTAACTGCCGCAGTAATCTAGCTTTATCTGCTTCCAGTGCAGCCTCCAATGCTGCCTCTTCGCACACCTCGTTATCCGAATCGGGATCATCTCGTCTTACCATTACTACTGTAACTATTTCCTTCTGGAATAGATTTGAATTAGTTGTAACTAATTGCAAGTTTTCTAATTCTGATACATGCTAATCCCATAAAAGTCCTACAGTTAGATCATGTTCGTCATGGATAGAGTGGGGTTCATTTTTTAGTCATAGCCATAGGTCTAGGAAACCGAATTTGTTGTCATATTAGACAAGTTGTGTACACCATGGTTGTTTGTTCGGTACAAATTTGTCACATCTTTCAAAATAGTCCTATTCAAATTTATTTGCAAACTTATAGATCTAGGCTACAAAAATATATAACATCCCAATTCACATGGATGTAGATCAGCGATGTTTGTATTTGTAGAAATTGCACATGACATGGCCTTCACCGAGGCAAATACCGAACAAATTTCGAAGAAAATAATATAAAAAACCTCACTCCACTGCTCCTTTTCCTAGCACTGTACCGTGTTCTTCTGTGTTGGTTGTCGATGGTAACGCGACAGGATATGACGCTACCGCATTTATGACGTTAATGCATAGTACTAGTAGGGTTTTGCCTATATTTAGACAAAGGAAGTCGCCGGGATAATGGAAATTATCACACGGTGAGAGAGCAGACGAAATTTCAAGAAAATGACAGTAGTAACTATTATTTTTGTGTTATAAAGCTTCGAGATCCCAAGCAAGAATCTCAATAGGGCGGTTACGTTTAGATGTTAAAGACGCCTTGATAACATCAATATTCGAGGACTTGAAAAAATTAAATGAAATGAATGGAGTTTTACGTCATACTCTTCTGCACCTTGTGGGCTAATGAAGACGGGCAACGCCATGCAGGGTGCCATGAGGGAAATTTTGCCAGGACAGCGGCATTAGCCTGCTCTTTTTCGATTTCCAACTGTCGAGGGATCTTTAACGTGCACAGCCTGTAGCACACGGGGCCTCGGTTTATTGTCCCATCCGAACGACTAGACGCTTTTTTCATGTCAGCCCCTCTTACCTGCATCACTGACAGGGGGAAACCGGGTTGAAAAATCCGAAGGTATTATCTCGACCTATGTCGGGATTGAACCATGGACCTTCAGGTTAGCGAGCAAGCGACTAACTCACTGAGCCACCGCGGCTCCCATTCGGGGACTTGAAGAACTTATTGTGTTACAATTATAATATATATATGTATTCAAATTTCCAGCTAATAAGTTAAGGACATATTGAGATGACAAACTACAAAAAGGATTAAAACGCAGTCATCTTCTCAATGTCCAGCTACTACTGCGTCAAATAGCCTACTTCTGGAGCTATATATAGCCCGTTTGGTGCTGATGCTCCTTAATGCATTTCATTTCATTTCATTTCTAATAGTCTACATGGACATTGGAGTCATTGGGCGCTTTTCTCGTATCAACGAAGTTAGTAAATGCAGTGGTTTGTAAGCTAGCGAATACAGCCAATCATATTCCTTGACAGAAAGTCTGTAAACCACGAGTCACTGTGGTTATTGCAGTCTTTATGTCGGGGCTCTGATTGGCTGTATTTTGCTAGCGTACATTCTAACCAAATCACTGCATTCCATGATACAAGAACGTTACCTAATGATGTCAAGGTAAGACGCAGTTCCTTACAGCTTGGCGTTATAAGGATGTCTATGGGCTATTGAGATGAATGCTGCTTTACCTGCTGAAGTATTTATTCATTAAATTCTTAATTATACAATAGTGTGAAAAGCAGACTTCCGCATTTTGATAGCGAGAGAACGCCCCTTCAGCTGATTACATGCTCTAGTTAGTTGCCCAAGCTCCCGTCTCACATGGTGGGCTGAAAACAGTTAAAGGAATATTGCTCCACGAGTATGAAACTTTTTTTTATTAAATTTTAAATCAACATCTACAACCAACATTTCTAATACAAGCTTCTCCTGTTGTACAACACTCTGTTTTACCTGGTAAATATTCACATAGTTTAGTATTTGGTGGACAATCTTGTGTTTCCTGAAAAAAGCATTGGTCGTATGATAGATTTTATCTTTAATACTTTAAATTTGTAAGTTACGTTTTTCAGGAGAAGTTAATTCTTGACTAAAACTTCGAAATTCCAGCATCGTTCTGCATGTAATAGTAGGTCCTGAAGACTTTAAACACACGCAAAATATTGAAACCATTCTATTCATTCTTTGGTTTGGGATAAAAGCTGCATTTTGGTATTGCGCGGATACAACATAAATTTTAGATTGAGAATGGACGATAGAACAAACGAAAATCTGGCCATCAACAACTATGCTTATAAACTTCTTATACTCCGCAAGGTGTTTTTAAAAAATAAAATAAAACGGTACCTTTACATGATGATTAATTCTTAGCTCTGTTGGTTTGAGAACTGAGTCAATAAGTTTAGTCCAATCATTTAGTGTCCATGTTGGACTACCAGCTACCACAACATCATTGACCATGAAAGTTGGTGTTCCTACCACCCCTCCTGAAATATAACATTAGATAAAAGTGAGACAAGGTCTGTATTATTATCTCGACACATGCCGTGATTGAACCCTGGACAATCTTCATTTATGAACCAATTTCTATGAAACTAATTATCAATCATCTATTGTCGAATAAGACAGACAGTTCTACCGAAAAATAGCAACCGTAAAATGCCTCTTACTTGAACAAGCGTACTTCCAGGCTACTCTTGTATCTTCTTCAATAGTGGGGTTATCTAACAAAGGAATGAAGAGTTCTGGCATAAGTCCCAAATCATGAGCCAGATCTGCTAATTTCCTACAAAGGCAATTATGACAATAAGCTGATAGAAATGAACAATTTATGAAGAATTTTTTGAAAGAATTGCTGAAGTTGTGAAAATCTATCTTTAGAATCCAAGCCACAATTTGCTGCACAATATTCTGTTCTGTGCATTTGAGTGAGATCTTCACAATTTTGAGTAAGCCAAAAATTTACAAAATACAGCTCTAATTTCTAAACAGTTGACTGGTATAAATCTTCTGGACGTTTGTATTTTGTATTTGGAGTTCGCTAAATTATATACAGTCCAAGTCTGTTGAAGAAATTACTCACATTTTCATTTGATCCTCGGAAAATTGGTTGGTTGCTGAATTCACTAAAGAATCTATATGATCATACACCAGTTTTATCCAGTCAAATGTCTTGTTTCCTTCTGTTAAAGATGCCATAGCATGAGCACCCTAAATTTAAATGTGAAACAGTTTTAATGTTAATGGGTAAAGAAAATCGGTGATAAACATAGTTACGCAACATCAGCTTACAATCTCGTCGACCATTCAGCATCTCGACATCTTTTCATTTATTTGTAACAGGAATTTACAAACTTACCTTTGTGGCATAAAACGAGTTTCTGTGATACGGCAATGGAAAGAAATGGACTGTAAATTGTAGTATAGATGGTCCATAATGTTCAGCTACAGCCTTTAAGGTTGGAAAGGATTCTTTACTTCCGGGACAAATAAGATCCAGAAAGGCATCGATATGAATTGATGCATTGGCTTGTCCTTGTTTGTATACATATCCCACTTCACGTGTCGGTATTGGAACTTGAGCTAAATTCGAGCAAACAAAACAAGCTACACAGGCTAGTTTTAGGGCGTCCATTTTGATACTTAATGGGGTAATATCAATCAATACTATTTAAATACACCTATATAGAGATATCGTTTGATCATGTGATAACCATTTGACCATCAACATGAACATGATATAGCAACAGAGAGATTACAGATCTGCTGAGTCACGCTTGTCGACAAACCAAAGCGGGCAGCATATCAAATGTTTTATTGGGCATATTTGCGGTAGACAATTCTGCCTCGGTCAGTTATTATCGAACACAGGGTGTTAAGATTTCGATTTCAGTAAAATTATCCTCCCCTTGTCCGAACCGGAAAAAGACCGCTTTTTCGTTTTTATGAGTTGTGTTTGAAAGATAACACGACCATATCATATGGCAGATCCCCTCTACATAGTATGTAATATTCTTTACGTGAAAAGAAAATTGTCAAATTAAAATTAGAAAAACTCACAGTTTATTATTGTCTACAATATAATTTGATCATTCATTTATTTATTTATTTATATTTTTATAGCCAATATTGTAATAGAATCAGACCCAATGCCACAATGTTCAGTTGTATCAGATTTGTGGTCGATGCTGATTCAACATCTAAGGTGTCATTCTGAAAGAAAGAACATAATAAATATACTTTACTGCATTTCATGATAAGTCCGAAAATTGTCTGTATGGCAAATCACATATTGAACACTGATATTAGGTTGATAATCTATAGATCAAAATTCTTACTTCTTGTATATTCTTACGTTTAGTTTCTGTGCTTAAGAATGGGTCAATAAGTTGTGTCCAGTTTTGTACGGTCCAAGATGGTGTAGCTGCTACCGTTATATCATTTACCATAAAAGTAGGTGTTGCGGCAACCCCACCTGCAAATAAAAGCAACTGTCTCTAAGTCTTAAGACCATCTGACAATGGATAAGAGCAAGAACTCAAGCCTGCATTGAAAAATGAAATAAAAACCTGTATACTACAACTTATAAAATACAAATCGGTTGTGTTTGTTACTGAATGTCTAGTTTAAACGGTTTAAAATATCAAAATCTGAAATGTTGAAAAAGCAAAAGGCTCATGATAATTGTTTACAGAAGTTACACATGCTAGTCAATATCTTGGTCATATTAAGTTCGATAATTCCAATTACTTACGTGTACAGGCATATTTCCACGCAATTCTTGTATCATCCTCTTTTGACCTATCGTGTAATACCTGGGTAACAAAGGTTTTTGGATCAATTCCCAACTTAACTACCAACTTGGCAAAAAAACTGAAAAACATTATAGTATTAAGTGCATTTCAATTTTTCAAAAAATAAAACCAGCTTGTAAACGATTTTAGAGAAATATGGGAAAAAGTTTATAAATACGAGCAAGCATAAGCTAGTGGCTCAACTGGATGAGTGGGGGCTCGTGGACATATTCGGTGGGGGTAGTAGCTAAAATATACACATATTTGTGTTATCATTTGAACCTAACCTGATCATTTTAGTCTGTGAATATTCCTGTGTTGCATCATTTGTTAATAAATCATAGTTGTTGTAAAGAGTATCCATCCATTCAAATGTTTCATTTCCTTTTGTTAAGGCAGCTATAATATGAGCTCCCTGTAGAAATAGAGAAAATTAAAGATTCATTTGGAATTATCGTTAAACCCACTGCAGACAACTTTTCACTGGAACATTGACAGAGTGAACAAAAAAAATGTCATCAATTGTGCATGAAGTTAATGATTTCTATGGTAGTCTAGCTGATATTAGAAACTGGTGAGTGAGTGGTTGTATTATTATTTAATGGTGACTTTACACACCATTAACAAATTCTACCATATGGAAAGAAATCGAAATGCGATCAGTCAGAACGGAAAGATGATTTTCCACTAGAAGTTTGCCTTAACCATACGCTATATCTTTACACAAACTCATGTACATTTTACCTTTGAAGCAATCCATGAGTTTCTGTGATAGGGAAGTGGAAATATGTGCATCTTAAGTTGCAGCTTCGTAGCTCCATAATGATCAGCTAATTGTAGTAGTGTTGGAAATGCCTGCTTACTATCAGGACAAACTAAATCCATATAAACATCTAAATGAACAGAAGCATTATCTAATCCAGAATTATAAGCATATCCAACTTCACGTCTGGGTATTGGAATTTGGGCAGACGTGAATAAAAACAAGCACACAAAGACGACGGGTTTTACGAAAGCCATTTTCAGAAGTACATTAATATTTTGTTGATCCAGTATATATACACGTAGTTGTTTATTTACTTAATTCGAATCATGCGAGATTTAACTCAAATCCCCTTATCTAGTATTTCTTATCACATATATTATACTTACTAAAATAATATTGTCATATTCTAATTTGATCTCAAATGCCAACTTGTTGAATTGCGTTTTCATGTAACCTAGTGACATTTATGTGGTGTATTTAAAAAGATGACCTGGTTCAGTATAGTATTTAATATGAATTATGAAAATCCGTTATAATTCAAATGTTGTATACTCATCTTAATAACATACTGTCTAATTAAATAAAAATGATTATTTTCAATATGGATACTTTAGGGTCTAACGACAGCTGATAAAATTCCGCAACGAAAGTTTGAACTTATTTCATTTAAAGTGATACTATGTCTTAGAATACACTCGCCCTGTGGCTAATATTTGTGTTTAATATTGATCATTGGTTAAATAAGTATGCATCCCACACTTTATCAAGTTTGAAAAATCGACAATTAAACTATAATCATAATTCTAAAAAAAAGTGAGCAAGCCATGAATCCGTTCAGTTTGAGAAAAAAAGAGTCTGGGTAATCAACGCTAAAACAGGAAACAATCATCTTCCGGTGTATACAAACAAACTTTGCCAATGATTAATATTCGTTGAAAATTGTGTCAGTGGTGGAGTATTCATTCTAAATTATATGAATTGCTTTTTCGCGGAGTCGCTTAATCTCCTACGAGGCATCATTATTTAAAATATGACAATGTCGAGGTCAATTCAAGAATAGAGGTCAAGGACGCGGGAAACCCCACTTGAGAGTTACTTCCCCTTGAAAATTACACCGGATTTCCTAGACTCATGATTTGAAAATCGCTTAATGGATGTATTAATTACTTGATTTTGTGGATATATCGGATTATAGAGGGATTTTGATGTATAGTTAGGACACCAGGTGAGTCCACTGATGGATATATACTGTTATTGGCCAAATTTGAGCAAAATTTTATGTTCATCCTAAGACGTAGTATCCCTTTATCATAATATATTTTCATATGATAATGCAATTCCACTCGTATTATATATGTTGACAGCTTAATAAAAAAAAGGTACGGGTTAAAGTGAAGAAATTGAAATTCCACATTATGTAATATTGCTAATCGTTGTAAGAGATCTACATTAGCCCAGAAGTAAACTATAGGGAATCACGGGGGTAACCTTCAACATGTAATAGTCAAATAGGGGCAAACACGGGGGGTAACCTTTAATCTGTAATCTTTAACACTTTTTAATTAACATCGGTGTGGTGTTTATGTAAGTAATTAGAAACAGATGGTGTTGTGTTAGGGTGTCAGAGCAATAGCTAAGTCTATTAATTATGTGAAAATTAGTTGGTCATTAGTATGATTTTAGTTGAAAAGACACACACACAAACATACACGGCATGTTATATAATATACTGTATATAGCCATGGCACCAGTCCTGAAATAATTATTCCCTGAAATCTAACTTAGAAATCGATTAATTTATTGATAGAACATGATACATTTATATTAAGAAATCTATGCTCCTAGGATGAATGGACATTGTTCAATGGTTCAAGTTTACCGTGAAAGAGGAAATTGCTAAGATTTTGATTTCTTTTGTAAGCTACAACCAAACGTTTTGTGTATACATGGGGAAATTTGTTCTGAAGTTCCGAGTAATGGCGTTTGACTATTATGGAGGCTTTGGCAAGCCTGCCAACGTTTACACAATTCCACTCGTATTATATATGTTGACAGCTGATTTGTCACTTAATAAAAAAAAAAGGTACGGGTTAAAGTGCAGAAATTGAAATTTCACATCGTTATTAAAATGCCCTTTTCATTGGAAATTATTTGTGAATTAGATGTATACAGGAATTCAGCGAAGTCAGTGAATCTGAGTGAGAAATCAAATGAAATGTATGGAGTTTTACGTTCGTCTTTTCTTTACCATGTGGGCTAATGAAGACGGGCAACTCCATACAGGGTGCAATAAGAGAACTTATGCCAGGATATCGGCTCTTTTTCGATTTCCAACTGTCGAGGGATATTTAACGTGCACAGTTTATTGTCCCATCCTAACGACTAGACGCCTTTTCCATGTCAGCCCTACTTACCTGCATCACTGACAGGGGTAAACTGGGTTGAAAAATCCCAAGGTATTATCTCGACCTACGCCGGGATTGATCCCTAGACCTTCAGGTTAGCGAGCAAGCATCTAGTTCAATTAGCCACCACATTATCATGATGCTTATAGTAGGTATACTAGGTGCGTTGACAGATACGATTATTATGGTAGGTTGATCTCTGTATACTAGGTGATATTATTATGGTAGGTTGATCTCTTTATACTAGGTGGGATTATTATAGTAGGTTGATCTCTGTATACTAGCTGAGATTATTATGGTAGGTTGATCTCTGTATACTAGCTGAGATTATTATGGTAGGTTGAGCTCTGTATACTAGGTGAGATTATAATTACAGGTAAGATTATTATGGTAGGTTGATCTCTGTATACTAGGTGAGATTATAATGACAGGTAAGATTATTATGGTAGGTTGAAGTCTGTATACTAGGTGGGATTATAATGGCAGGTAAAATTATTATGGTAGGTTGATCTCTGTATACTAGGTGAGATTATAATGACAGGTAAGATTATTATGGTAGGTTGATCTCTGTATACTAGGTGAGATTATAATGACAGGTAAGATTATTATGGTAGGTTGATCTCTGTATACTAGGTGACATTATAATGACAGGTAAAATTATTATGGTATGTCGATCTCTGTATACTAAGTGAAAATAAGGACTTTGATATCATTTTCGTTCTTATGGAAAGTGTGAGATACAAATTGGTTGTGTCATAGTTATAGAATGTTTTAGATTTATGATAACGCAAAATATTGAATAATTAACTTTGAAATCGATAAAATACTGTACATGTATATGAGTATATGAATATTATATACATACATTATATAAAATGGTGTTTTATTTCCAATAATTAATTATATTAGTGAAAGAAGACGGTCAAAACCAAATTATATGATTAGGTCTCCATAAAAGGCCTAAAGTTATTCTATAGTTCCATAGTTAATAGGCCTCGTTTTCAAATATCAGGAACAGTTCTCTGTAGCTAAAGGCATCCATATAAGACTTACGAAAGGCTTGTACTGTTGACCAAGCTGTAAATGGGAATGGATAGCCAGGGAATACCAAGACATTTTTCAAAGGATCAACTAGTAGAAAAGATTTTTGTAAACCTAAGTTGAGTTACTTTTTGGGTTGATTGGTTTTTTTGTAATTGGAGGAGTGGTCTTCAGCTTACTGAAAACATAATGATACTTACAGAATATATTAGGCGCCTAACAAGATGACAAAACTCACTGTTAGTGTGCTTGCTACTTGGTCACTACATTCGATACCGGCCATGTGCTGAAAATCAGTTGGATAGTAAACGGGTCCAGCTAATGCGTTATAGGTTATTTACCAAGAGGTTTTTTCCACAGAAAAAATAAACGAGAACCTTAGCGTTGCAATGTAACGTGTGATAATTTCTTTCTTTCTTTAACTACCTTTCTAACTTTCTTTTACGCATTACTATCATATTCTGTTTGATTTTCTCTGACAGTTTTTCTACCTTACATTTTGGTATGAATATTTGAATGAAGTTCTGAATGAAGATCATACACCTCATACCAAGTTTGTTTATAATCGATTTGATTCACTATCAGGAAAGATAATGTTCAGAGAGCTCTCAAATTCGATCTTGCTCTTCATTTTGGTTTTAAACTGTACATTCTAGAGTGTTTATGAGGAAATGTGAACGGATGTTTAGATATGTCGGCACATAGCCTTTTCCTTTTCGACTGTCGAGAGATCTTATTTGCTATGTAGTGCCTAATGCCAGCTCGTTAGAATGACTATTCGACATTTGTTGCGTCTGTAATTAAACTTGCTTAAAGGGACAGATTTGCCATCTGTTTGACAAATCGAACTTAGTCTCAGAAACGGGAATTTTCAATCTAAGCTAATCGGTAATAGTGTTCACAGATCATTGTCGAAATTTGAGCCTTCAAATCCATGTGTGTAAAAAACTACCGAGTATGAAAGGAGTATGACGACTCGTCTTTCTTGAAACTCAGTCATATAATATATATTATATAAATTTCTAGTTTGAAGTATATTTGATGCGATTATGCGATTTTCATGCAGTTCTAGAAGCAATGAAGACTATTTACATATTTTCAAGATCCAAATCAACCCAGGAAAATGACAAACCATGGCCTTAAACATATATGTGTAACTGATTGTAATAACTTGGAACTGTGATCAAATCTGGAGAAAGATACAAAAAGATACAAATTCAAATTACATGGTAGCCATTGTTGGAACTGTATACATGTATAGGCATCTTGATTATAATCTATATTACTCAAAATATATAGTTTAAAGTCTAGTGATTTTCATACGAAATGAATTAAATCAATACATTATATGAAATGAATAACACGACCACCTGTGTCAATTAAACCATCTCAGTATTGAATTAATTTCAAATGAACAATGTTCTCTTTCAAAGGTGTTTGTTTGTATTTGTATGTAGTACAGAACCTACAGTTTGCGAATGCCGGATTTGATGTATTGAAGCGTGAACCCGGCGTTGTGTATCAAAAAGGAAATGATTCTTCTACTAAGTTCGAAGTCTTCATTGATTTGATGTGTTCTCAAAGCAAAGCCGTTTTTCCCGCACTTAAGAATGTGGCAAACTATTATGGACCCGAAAGGCTTGAACTGATATTTCATCTTTTTCCGTTAGCTTTTTTCCGAAATTCTCACAAAGTAACCAAGGTAATTATATGCTCAATCATACATACAGCTGATTGTTTTATTTAGTATCGAGAACTAATCATCCAAACAAGGTAAAATAATATATTACTAGATATACCGTCAATCTCTTTCAGGGAGCCCTAATAGTGCATGAATTGTCACATGGTGGAAAAACAAATGATTGGATTGAATCGATCTTTGGTGCCTTTGATGAGTTGACTAATTATGCCACAAACAACAAAACGGAGATTGAAATCATGAGGTAAGGACAATATCGATATCAAGAAAATATAACTAGATTTCGACTTAAAACGCAGTAAGCCTAATAAATTCTCCTTTTTTTTTTATTTTACTTTTTATTTTATTCTCTATATAATTTAAAACAATACGTTATATATAAGGCTATACCTATGGTATCCAAAAATACATTATTGTTTAATAAAATAAGAAAAAAAATTGCAATTAAAGGGATAGATGCGACATGTTGGGGGTTGATTCTTGAATACATGTAAATAGTTTTCAGAAGTACTAGAAATGTACGAAAATTTTATAATTCCTTCAAAAATATCTTAAACTAGGAATTTATTTTCCTATTTCTATTGTCTCTTCTGCGGTGTCTCAAGAAAAAATCTTTAATTTTCAAACGCGGATAATTCTGGACACACGTGGATTTGAAAACTGAAATTTCGACGTTGAGCTGTGAACACATGTGAAAATATTTGAGACTAAGGTACGATTGATAGAAAAATGGCGTAACTGTCCCTTTAAATACATTAAAATGTGAAAGAATTAAGGATAACTTTGCTGAGTGTGAAAACTTTATTTTAAAGGTCTTAGCCAGCGATTTATATACTATATGTAAAGCAGAGCAATCTAAGACAGAGTATAATATATGGAGATCTATTTCATACACAATAGAAATAAAAACCTAGTGGCGTAATTATCAATATTTACAATTTATACGGGAATGATTAAAAAAGTAAGAAAACAAATTACATTTCACACTTTTTTCGCCCTTAATTTCAAAGTTTTAACGGAAATTTCCGGATAAATACTCAATTAAATCTGCTGGTTTTGTAGACAATTAGCTGATATTGCTGAAGAATTAGGAATCAATCGATCCACATTCTACAATCAGTTAACATCCAGTGGTGATGCTGAAAAGTCTGCCAGAATGGTCCATAGATATGGATGTTCAAGTAAGATTTCTTTAAAGATATAAACCATGATTAGAATTTGAAAAAAAGTGTTAGCTCTAATATCTAATTTTTGTAAGAAATTTTTTTATAACTGAAAATAAAGGTGTCAATGGTGCCGATAGCATTAAGACAATAGTGCCATTGATTATTTTTTCTGTTGTACGTATTTTTTAAGCAATATTTGTAAAATTTGATTTATATCCACGGAAATCCCATACTTCTTTTTCCTCTTATGGACTTTATCACGAAGCATCTTACCTTCATGATCTTACCTACTTTATAGCGTAACAAATTTCATAATAAATACAAAAAATCAAAGGATAATCATGAACAGTTTTCACTTCCACAGACCGTAATATTTGATTTCAATTATTACCTAACAAATGAAAATTATCATTCCAGGAGCCGTTTTAACGGTGCCAACATTCTACATTAACGGTTTCCAAGTTCCCGCTACCCATACTTGGACTGCAGAACAATTTCAGAAGGAGATAGATGACATCTATGAGGTAATCAACTATCATACATTATACTCAACTAAATGGGGGAATGTTTTCGATGAAGGATCCTGAAAGGGGTAAAAGAAAGAATAGAAAGATGGTTGAAAACCCCTAATCTCTATGAAGACAGATACTTTTATGGATATATCATTTATTCATTTATCAAAAGTCAGCACGCGTTAAACATTATCATTAAAATTGTAAAAAATATTTGAATGGGTTTTACCTATTCGTGGTATGTTCTTACTTGAAATAAGTAATCGGATAAAACGGCCTACAAGTAAGATAGCACGTATAATTCAATTTTATTAGAGGACTTGAATGTCTCAAGAAGTCCAATAAAATAATTAAATCGACACCTGAGAAACATTGTTCTAATATGGAGCCTACACAAGAAAAGGCGTAAGCTCAACGATTTAATAAGTTTCTAATTTTTACCTTATTTTCCAATTCAGAAAAGGTAGATAATCAGATCAAACCAAGTGAAAGAACTCCAGCAACAATCAACATGTATTATTAATGAAATAAAACTCATTCAATCAACCTAGTTTTACTACTAATCTAAAGATATCCACACCTAACAGAGGCAGTGGAAAGTGGCTTTGAGATGTAACCCTGCTATCAAAACTATTTTTTAAAATAGTTCTCACTTCCATCCACTCGCCTACTTCATAACCACTAAAGTTTTGCTTAAAGGGGCAGATTTGCTTGACCAATTGTTCTTAAGTCCCAGAAATGGTAATTTTTCAGCTAAGCTAATCAGTAATAGGGTTCACAGCTGACTGTCGAAATTTAAGCCTTCAAAACCATGTGCGTCCATAATTATCCGCCTTGGAATGTTAAAATAACGACTCATTTCTTGAGACTTTGCCATATATAAAGTCAAATAGAAATAGGAAAAGAAATTCTCAAATTGACGTATTTTTGAAGGAAAACATTTCCCATTAATATGATCTAACTTTTATTTAGATTTTAAAATGTAAAAAAATGTGAGAAAAGAAAGCAAAATCCTAAGTTGGAGCGAGAATCACCAATCGAACTGAACCTTTAGAGATATCAAATTCTTACCACCTGAAAAACTCTTGTAGTATAAGGTTTTATGAGAGAAAGCACTGGCCTAGGTAGACGTTAACAACATCTATCTCATAATATTGTTATTGATAAACATGGAATTGCATACATCATATGCATGTACACAAACTCAAATAAATCCAACTTAAAATATGCATTTCAATTACATTTTAGAAATCAAAGTCATTCGACAATATTCCACAGTTTCAGTAAAGTTCAATTTCTCAGTAATAAATGTAGGATTTCGTTGTGTCTTCTTGGACAATCATTTGTCAAGTGATAGTTATATTGCGACATGAATGTAGTCCCTAGCTTAAGATGCTATGATGATTCTGATACTCTTGTTGTACAATGACCACAAAGAAAATATGAGATATCAGAGTCACAGCATAAAAGACATGATCATACATATTTAATATTATTATTCATTTATTTAAACAAATCAATTGTTATGGCTAAATCTAAACATTTAAGATTATATACATAAATGACAGACCCATTAGGTTTAAGCATTATAAGATTATGGTACAATTAATATAAGACAAAAAACGAATGCATTGTATTTTGTGCAAATAGTTCATCTTGGTTTAAGACTACAGTTAACAATATATGTTAACTTCTTTTGTCATATTTCAGGCTCCGAACCCTAAGACTGTAGCTGAAGTTACGGATTTTTTCACCCAATTAGAACAGATTTATCTGGCAACTATAGGGGCATCTTCACAGTGCGGCAATAGCCACCTTTTTTGTTTTTTTTTTTTTTGTAACAATTTGGTTGGATTGTATGATAGCGTAAGCCCTAATGGCGTACAATCCAGTCATATCGCTTAGACCCGTGAGCCAGCCAACTTGCATAGGTTCCCTTGTTGGCTGTGACTGACTTTACATATGACACCAGATGACTAGCCGCAGCTTTGAGAAAAAATACCTTTCGTGCTAAGTGCTACTTGATGAATGATTCTCTACGACTAAGTCTGACCGGTTCCATAACCAAAACTTCTAATGCAAATTGCTAAATTGGTTGCAAAGGAATTAATTAACTAAAAAAACAATTCATTTCGTCCCGTCCCAATTCGAACCTAATTTATTCCCATTTCGCCCTTTCCATTTCGCCACAACCCATAATGTCCCTTCCGATTCGCCCTTTTTTTCTTTACTTTGCCCCTTTCCCATTTCGCCCCCTTTTCCGGTGTTCCATTATATCTTTCCCATTTTGCCCCTCGTTTCTATCATCTAAGTTTTCAACGTTTTCCAAGTCTGTCGAACCGATCGGATTGGCCTACATGCTTAAAGCTGGATCTATATATTTTATGCCGTCACCTGCTATATACGCAACGCGGTTGGTGGAATCAGACAGTGCTTTAGCGCCATTCTCCCAAGTATAAACAGACGCGTACATGTGTCGACCCGTTTTCAAGGCTTCGCGGACAGACATTATTTGACCATTTCTTAAGATTGTGGACTTTTCAAGTCGTGTAGCTATCATGTGTTAGAGAACCAGAATCCCCAAATACGAAAAAATTTGGTCGGCCTCATTACCCTTTACGATCAAACGATGGAATTAGATTCCATGTAGATTATGTATACTGAATTTCTCTCAAAAAATTCTTTTAAATCAATAACAATAGCCCAAAGTTTGAACAACTTTCAATAAATTATGGGCAATAACTAAAAAAAAATTTAACCAAAAACCAGATATTGTCAATTTTGAAATGGAATGATCAAGGGGATAATTAGCATCAGATTTTAATATTTTTCGAAGAATAATTTTTGAAGTATACTTCCTTTCCAAACCGGTATTAATTACGTCACTAAAATTGTGTTACCATACCATTTTAATCATATTACCTAATTGTCGCTTTTGTATCTCTCGGGGTCCATGTTCATTTTTTTCTATGGGGTTGGTGTCTGTGAGCCATATCTTTCAACTCTTAGATTTGACCAATAATAGGCCTGCTAGCTAATATTTGACTCTAACAATTATAGTTCAATATCCTAGATGATTCGATTGTTTATTCTAATTCAATAATTTTTAACTCTTTTCCCACATGTCTACCGCATATTTTTTTTTAATTTGGCAAAATCAAAATGTCCGGATGAGTAAGTATCTTTAAAGCTGGTCTTGAGCATGGGTAAATCCTACTTCCCCCTTCATAGAAAAATAAGAACATGATATAGAGTAGGGTTTGGTATCCTCGCAGCACTTACACTGACTTTTGGCTTGCGGGTTTTTTTGGGTTTTTTTTCATATTGATGTATTTGTGCCTTCACATCTGGTGTTTATGTACTTGATCACGTAAGCATAAACTTCTCCATCTCATACACATGTCATTGTACTTGTGTATATGTATTTTTATACGCTCACATGAATATGTGGTCGTATATTGTCGTCGCCCCTGTCCGTCGGTCCGTCGGTCGATCGGTCGGTCCGTCCGTCCGTCCGTCCACAATTGGTTTGTGAACACAATAGAGGTTACAGTTTTAGTCCGATTTAAATCAAATTTTGTGTGATCAGATCTTGTTCAAGTTCGAATTTGACAATTTTTTGATGAATGGGTTTTAAGTTATTGCCCTTGACTGATCTGATTTTAATGAAATCAGGTGTGATAATTTATTACAATGAGATCTTGGTCAAGTTTGAAATAGACGATTTTTCAGTGAGTGGAATTTGAGTTATTATCTAACATTCAACCATGGGGACTATATAATGAATGAATGAGAAAAAAAAAACGAAAAAAAAAAGAACAAAAAAACCAAAAAAACAACATATACACTATACCTCAATTGATAACCTGTTTAACAAATACACGAGTACATTAATTTATATTAAATGGACAGATCATGTTGGTGTGATCAAGTACATGACGCACATGATGCACAATCTCTCACAATATAACAATATATATATATACAGAAAGATAGCTTGCGATGCAAGGTAACATACGCCCACTGGCAGCTGTCAGAAATAATAAAACAGTCTTTAGTGACTAAAGTACGAATTTTCTCATATTGAAGAAATTATTTATGCTGAATAATTCCACAAAATTTTGTAAAATTTTTCGTAAGTTAATGGCAATAACTCAAAAACATTTCATCGAAAATGCGTCAAGTTAGAACTTGTCCGAGATCTTATCAATTCCAATGATCACACCAAGTTTCATCAGAATCGGTTGAAAATTGTAGCTTCTATTGTGCTCACACACTATTTTTAACAAATTTGACGTGTTTTTACAAAGTCAAGGGCAATAACTCAAAAACCGTTCATCGAAAATGCGTCAAGTTAGAAATTGTCCGAGATCTTATGAATTCCAATGATCACACCAAGTTTCATCAGAATCGGATGAAAACTGTAGCTTCAATCCTGCTCACGAACTATTTTTAACAAATTTCAAGGCGTGCTAAGTCAAGGGCAATATCTCAAAAACCATTCATCGAAAATATGCCAAACTCGAACTTGACCGAGATCTTATCAATCTAAAGCATCACACCAAGTTTTATCAAAATCAGATGAAAACTGTAGTCTCTATAGTGCTCACAAGAAATGTTGACGGACGGACAGACGGACGGGCGGACGGACCGGGGTGACGACAATATACGACCAGATTATAATGTGGGCGTATAAAAAGAAAGAGTTTCCTGGCCATTAGAAGATTTAGGGCCTATAAAATGGTTAGAATCGTTATTATGTATTGTTTTATCATTTGCACACGTCTCGCGTCATATTATTGAAAGACCTTGTCATTATTTGTATTTAAAGTTCGTTTTGTCCTCAGAGCCGATTTGCCATACGCATCGAGGATTGTGCTTTTAGCTTAAGATATAGTTAAAGATATTAGATGTAAAGAAAGATATATATAGAAAGAAAGAAAGAAAAGAAATGGTTGTTCAACTCTGAGTGTGTGAATTATATTGTTAGGTCTTCTGAAGAATCTGTATAGAATCTGAAATGGGCGTTTAAAACCTTTGATATAAGATTCATCTTACCTGACGCCAATTCCGTACAAAATGGTCCAAAATATCCATCATTGCAGTCACAACTTAATTTATCTTCAGTTAGACTTCCTCCGTTCCCACAATTATCATTTGGCTGAAAATTATAACAGATATTCAACAATATACTTGGAGCACAAAACAAAAACATGTACAATGTTGGCAATTGCGTCATAATGCTTACCTGTATGTAGAAATTGAATGTATTGTAACATACTGGTGGAAATTTTAATAAAAACATCTACATAAAACTGCCTATTGTTATAAATTGTAATTAATTGTTAATTTTCAATAAAATAATTACCTTAAATAAATAGGTATTTTCAGAATCCCCTCCCACGGAGCCTTCACAACTTGATGCATTCTCTGCATATAAATAGCAAGTTTTTTTACCAGTTTGAGAATCTTTGTGAAATACCAATGACTTGACAGTGGGTTCTTTTTCAGCTTGGTAAACACAGTTGTAAATGGTACTAACAAGCAAGTTAGCAAAACTTGTTTCATACCCCGGAAAGAAATCGGGACAGTCGACCATCTTGAACCATTGGTCACCATACACAAAACTTAAAAGAAAGCCAGTAAATGTTATCGTCATTACCAACATTGGTAATTTCCTCACCATTTTGAATACCTGAAAAAAGTAAAAATAGGCTGAAGAATCAGCACTCATTTGGAACTACAGTCAGATTCTGGTCGTCTGCCTCTATCAGACAGAACGTTGCTTACTGAACCCCTTCGCCGACCTACCCTTTGATCAGACAAAACTTTGATCGATGTATCTTATGACAGAACCTTGGTTGTCAAATCCTTTTACTGATCTGGTGATTAAATCAGACAGAACCCTTATTGATGAACCCTTTTACTGACCAAGGGCCCTCTTTTCAGGCAGAACCTTGGTCGTTGTATCATTTTACCGATATTGTGGTTAAATCAGACAGAACCTTAATCTGAACCCTTTTGCCGAACTACAGCCTTTTAATATACCCGACAGTAGCCTGCCACTGACTTAATTTTTATAATCAGACAGAACTCCGATTGCTAAGTCCTTTACAACGACCTAGCGACATTTTGTCAGACAGAAGTTTGGTTGTTGAACCCGTTCACTGACATATCTTTATATCAGGCAAGAATTTGGTCGCTTTATCCCAGGTATACATTTTTGTCTATTTATAATATCATTAGCTGCTATCTATATTTCGTCAATATGTTGTTATGGATTTCGGGTTTTGTTTTGCGGTTTGGATCATTAGTATTTGGTTTATTTGTACAAAATTGTATCTGAGGAAACAAGCGGTTTATTTTCAACAAAAAGGTTTTGGGTGTCATTTTGCTCTGTTGAAAATGGACACAAATTAATTTCAATACTTCAACAAGTTGTTTCTGACAACATCATATGGGATGTTGTTTTACAACTTCTTGCATTTTGGTCTTTTTTAAGTTTTATATCTGGTTAATATGCATGAGAGAAAAAAAAAGGAAAACACTCACTGATAATAGCTCCGTTGACTTTTGACCTGCCAGATCAAAGAACATTACAGTTTCCAGAAGAAAAGAAATTTTTTTATTTTTTTTTATTTGAACGACATATAGAAGCGAGGAGCACATATAACAAAAACACAAGACAATATTATGGAATATAACACACTTCTTTAATAAGGTTGGGCACATAACGTTTCAACACAATATACACGTGTCGTCATCAGATGTAACGTATAACAAAAACACAAGACAGTGTGTTATATTCCATAATATTGTCTTGTGTTTTTGTTACACCAGACTTGTTTATATCAATTTAATCATAAATCATTAAATCAACCAATGGTATTTCCAAGTGTGAATTATTCATTGATTTAATGTGCTATTATGATTTCTCTAAGCCAGTTCCACTAGGCTTTTCGATGGATTGCGAACCATTAGCGAAGGAGAAGTGGACATTCGCAATGCTTCGCAGTGATATATGCCAAATATTTCACGTGAGAGTCGCAAGAGTGGGAAAAATTTCAACTTTTTGTACGCTACCCAGAAGATAGGCAAATATTTGCCGGTATCCGTGCGGGCCGTCGCGACAATTTTCATCTTATAATCCGTTGCCGTTAAATCGCCAATGTAATAAGGACGTATTGCTGTACCATCTGTTACACGTCGCAGAGCCTGGGACTGTAATAGCTCGCCGTCATCGATTGGTTGAGCAAATTCTTTTACAGTTCGAATATACGATCAGTTGTAAGACCCAAATCGTTTTCAAAACGTCCAACTCCTAGTGCTGCAACAACCAGAAAGAAAATGAGTCCCACACTTACACAACTCGAGTTTCTATATCAGTCCCATCCAATCGTTGCCGACCATTGCCGACAAATCTTGGTCATTGTCAGCAGATCAATGGCAGATTATAGGCGAACATCGCAGAACTGTCGCCTATTATTAAGTGGGTTTTTGCAGAATCATTATTTTAATAATAATAATAATAAACTCTTTATTTTACATGGGTCAGAATTACAGAACACACAAGGACATGGTCCATGTCCAACATTCAGACTGAAAATCTACTCAATACTTTGATGTTCAATTTGTTTTAAAAAAAAATACATGAGTACGTTTGTATTAGATGGACAGATTATGCTGCTGTGATCAAGTACATGACCATGACCTCAAAAAGATGTACAAGCTCTCACATGTTTTTAATGGCACTGCTTCACTTTTTCTACAATTTTGTCGCTATCGATCACAAGGTATTACATTTCCCCATCGCAGATTCCTTAATTCCAGTGGGACATTCCTAAATTCCATGCAGTCGGCCATCTTAATAGTTTATTACTGTTTTTATATGTTACATTATCATACCTGACTTGTTTATCAATTTAATTATAAAGTCAATCACTAGTGAGAATAATTATTTATTGGAGTAATGTTCTAATCACCCAGGGATTCCTATCCCTGCCTTTGTTTTGGTTTTCAGGGCTATGAACTACCTATATATAAATTAAAGACTATTGTCAAGGGCATGTTGTCATGATCCGTAACATCGTACAAGTAAAAATATTGTCATAAGTCATGACCCAATACAGTATCTGAGATATCTAAGGTTATTGTTTCTCTAATTCAAGAAAAAAAAAAGATCAGTCAAATCTTTTTGCTTGATCTGTTTTGAGACGGGTATTCGTAATGCTAAAACAACATTGTATGATATGAGGATAGCTTGACAGGCAGGGCAACATACGCCCAGGGACAGCTCTTGGAAATGATAACCGTATTTTTCTTAACTAAAATACTTTACCTTACTTTACTCTTCTAAAATTTTCTTATAGTAAAGAACTTCCTAATGCATTTGTAGTTTTATAAAAAAAAAAGTTTAGTTTAATGTATCAATTTCTAATAAATTAGAGTTATATACATGTTTACTAAATAATCCCTGAATAACATCGGAGATATTATCAATATGCATGTGCAACATTTGCCAAATTTGACAACTTTATGTTATAAGGAAACAAAAAAAATATTTTTCAGAATTTTCCTTTTAAATTGGAATTTGATCTCATAAATATACACCAAGTTCCATCAAGATCAGATATAAACAATAGCTTCTATCTCATCTACAAGCAAGATTCAATTCAAGCGGTATCGCATCGCAGTTTGCGAGCCAAAATGACCCTTTTGCGATCCAATATTTCTCATGATTAGCTGCAACTAATATCATCATAACGCTCTGCGAATCAAATCTAATTGTATATTTTTCGTGAAAATCTTTTGATAAATCTAGAAATATGCAGTAACTCTCCATAACCTTGGGATCGATCTGAAGTATGAACTGAAACATAGCAAGCTACACTAAGATCCGATGAAAATGGTATAGAGTCTGTAACTAATGTGGATGGGCAGACAATGATGACAGCAATTAACTTCCACATTTCTATGTGAGCCTATATAAAAACTATGTCTAATATAAGAACGGGGTGTTCCCACTTTTCCGGCATGTATTGTCGAGGGTATTTATAGAAGGCTTTATTTATTCAGTTAAGTCTCACCAAACATACATAAATAATATTATATCAGGTGTCCCAAAACAAAAAAATCCCAAAGTTCGACGGGTAGTATATTAGCTGATCTCTTTCAAAATTCTTACAGATATACTTTCAGATTTCGTTACCCAACCCTAAAGTGAAGGGGGGGGGCGTTGCCAGAAGTATTCACAAACTTGAAAACAAGGCAACAACTTTACATAATCATATTTCAACATTACACAATTACAAAATACACCTTTTTAACATCATCAAGGCAATATTACAAAGTGGAAATATTCTTAGTTTACTTTTCAAACTTTATTTCACATCAATCTTAAAGTCAACATTCAAAACTTCTTTTTCGAAAATGAATTCTTAACTTGGCATTATTAACAAAATATGTATGTCACTATACCTTATATGGTAAACTCTCAAGAATACAGGTGTCTTACTAACATCTTTCAAGAATGCAAAGTCAAGAAGACACAGTTGATTATGTCAATAATGCAAAGTTAAGAATTCACTTGCGAAAACAAGGTTTGAATGTTAACTTTTAGAAGCTTAGTTCATATTAATGTGCTTAAATGACTCGAACTACATTTGTACGTTATGATTTTGTTTTTGTCGTAGTATTTCCAGGAGTATTAATTGCCTTGTTGTTATTACCATCATGAATGTCATTGTAAACTTGCAAATTTAAATTTAGTTTCTGGAAGGATACTAGAAGCAATATGCTAGACGGTTTTCGTTTTTGGTCATTTTAATTTTCATGAATTTTCCATGAATGTTTTACAACAGAACATCTATGGCCAATGCTAGAATCTTCTTGTCCGAATAATGACTGGTTTTGGTACGCTGTGCAGCAGAACTTTTGAGTTTTGAGAGTATGCAGAAGATACTTATTTGTTTTATTTTCTGTATCTATTGTAATAACTGATGGATCTGTTAATGTGGGTTTCATCACTTTCTGAAAGAGTTTTCAATTCCTATGTAAATACTCAACACCACTTTTCACTTTTCGTTTCGTTTCGTAATTACATACGCTCATTTTTCACTTATCACTTCTTTAAGGGTATGCTTACTGTTTAAGACACCTGGCCACTTTCCATTGTGAAATACTTCATCATTTATTATTGATGTACTTCTTCATGTAAAAAGCTTAGTAGTTGCTTCTAATGCTTCGCCAATATGTTGTTTGGGATTGTTAGTATTTGGTTTATTTAACCTCCATTGTCCCTCCGATCAGAGGGACTGCTGCTGATGGCATACGAACGGTAGGTTTGCTGATCACCACGATCAACTAAATCAACTAAGTTCTATAACTTGTGCTCAATCCGATTGTAAAATATTTCAATAAAATAAGTTTAAACTAACTAAATGACGCATTCAGGCAAGGGCCTCAAGAATAACCCCGTTACACCGATTTGGTTGCCCGCAAATGTGAACAAACACTAGAAAATTTGACCCCTTTCGTTTTCTACCTGCGACATATTCGAACATATAGGGTTCCTTAAGCGCTTTTCTAATGAAATCTTTGGGTTTGGTGTACTTCATTTTTACTGCGTTAATGGAGATGTTATGACGCTTATCGAAATGATTCTCGATTCCCTGGCGATTTCAACGG